TACGTGATCAAATCTTCTGAGAAGGCCTTCGGCCTTCACAGAATTTGATCATGGGACCGACCCACTTCAATTCCCATTGAAGTTTATAAACTTGTTATTTATTTCTTTAATGTATTTTTAAATTCTTTTGCCTTATAATTCTTTAGAATAAACCATGAAAGAAATACCTAGTTAATTTAACTAGTGTGCCTAGTAAAGCGTTTGCATGTCGTGAATAGTAACCATTCTGTATACTGGCTAAGATAGTGAGTATAAAGTAGGGGTCACCTGGAGCATGGGTCCTATAGATACCTACACCTAATCTAGTAAAAGTTACTTATAAATTCTAGATTTATTAATGTTATATAGTAAATTTTATTACGCAATACCTAGAAATACTACCATTAAGGGAGTGATTATATGGGCAGTTTTTTTTTGGGGGGGGGGGGGGGTTATTTCATCCCATTTGGACTTTCTTTATTCTTTAAGCCAAAGACTCATCAGATTTTATACACCATATAAACATGATAAAGAATACAGAATAGATATTATATATACAAAAATACACTAAGGATATAAATGTTAGTATAAATAGTCGTTACAAATTAGACTTTCGTAGAGCTGTAGCTTTATATAAAAATTTTCCCAAATTAGACAACTCTTTTACATTTTGACTACTCATTAAACTTACAATTTTAAATACACTTGGTTTGACATAATAATACTTCTTATTGTACATACTTCTCAGATTTTCATATAATATGGACATTTTAATATGAAATGAAATTCATCTTCAATATCATTAAAGGAGCATAGTGTGCAAATTCTTTGAGATCTAAGTGTATTATTATATCTACCAGTTTCATTTTTTAATTGGTGCTTTGATAATCTAATCTTGGTGAGCATTCTCTTATATCTAATCATCAATAGGTTTTGTTAAATATCTTTGTAATACAAAATTACTTTTTGTTTTTATGTTTACTGGCTAAGATAGTGAGTATAAAGTAGGAGTCACGTGGAACGTGGGTCGTATAGATACCTACACCTAACCTAGTAAAAGTTACTTATAGATTCTCGATTTATCAATGTTATATAGTAAATTTTATTACGCAATACCTAGAAATACTACCATTAAGGGAGTGATTGTATGGGCAGTAAATTTACTGGTCTTCTAGGTGACTTTTACTACTTAATTTTTCAGTGTATATGTATTTTTTTTTCTGAACCTTTAAAAAACATACGGTAAAGACAATTATCTCCCACGACATTCAGGGATTGAACAAAGTTAAGCAATTTTTCATTTATTCTAAATACACTAATGACTTAGCTACCTTAATATAAAAGGTGACGGCGACAGAGAGCGCCCATCAGATGCCAACATTTTAATTTACCATGAAAGAGATTCTATTTCCTGTGTAGTTCCATAAAAACCATTCAAGTGGACTTAATTCATCATTAACAGATTTAATTGATACCGTACATTAACAACAGACCCAGAGCTTTTACATTCTATAAATCGAATTTAACTCGAATAACAAGTCATCTGCAAATTGTCGTTCTTCAAACAAGATGTTGTTGCAAGTTATTGAATTCAAATAGTGCTATAACGAGTAAGTATAAAATTTTATCTTTACTTCTTTGTAATTAATGTTGTATTGGCGAGAGTAAATGTATGTACATGTATCTCTGTATCTCTGTCATGACAATATTCAAATAATATACATGTAGTATACTTTAATTTGTAACGTCGTATTTGTAATAATGTTTTATAAAATGATGCCCATCCTTATAAAAACTGGATTACAATTAGCGGAGAGTTCTATGCTTATTATAAAATACTATTACATAATTCATACCAATTAACAAAGTAAAGTGACAAAAATACTGAGGATTTTCACAGTTTTTTTTGTTGTTGTGTTTATTAAACATAACTATAAATATTCTTCAATTATCAGATTTTTTCTCTTTCTTTTGGTACTGTGGAAATGATAGGACGACAAGTTCCATTTCGAATTAGATCTTGCATTCAGTACTGAAAAGTTCAAGGTAACTTTACTTTAAGTATAAAATTCCTTATCTTCCTCTTTTTTAAATTTTATTTTATATTAATTACCCGGTACTACCGTACTTGTTTACTTTAGTTTTAAATAACGAATTCTGCAAACTGTAAACATAATTTTGAACCTTGACAAGTGAGTATGTTATTGAACAAAATCTTCACTTGTATCATATATTTTTCTGTTTCTTTTACCTATGATCTTGAATACTGTTCGTTATCTCCATATGTTTCACTTTTTCGATTGCAAAAAATATTATTAGTATTTATTACATTCAAGGAGAAGAACCAATAAGTTATAAAAACTTGTTTCCAATCTTTTTGAATTACAGAATAGAACGATGAAGAGAAACGAAACTAATGCTTCATTTTTCCTTGATTTTCCCATTTAATCAACGGGAAGAACAAATACAAAATATGTAATTTCTGCATTTGAATTAAATTCAATATTTATAAAAATCAGAAAATTTACATTATGATACGTTTTTTATATCAAGAATTAAAAAAGTTTGATTTCAAAAATAATGTATTTTGATATCAGGAAATCCTAAATCCTAATATTTTTTATATTAATTTTCTATATTAAATATTCGACACTCTGACATCAGAAAATAACGGGTAAATATTCATATGAAGATTTTGAATTGATTTTCTAAAATAAGAAAATGGATTGTTGATAAAAATACCTCAAAGATATTAAAAAGGAGCCTCATAAAGATGGGCCGGGGGGGGGGGGGGGGGTCGACATTAAAACACATCAAATATGCATGTAACTGAAACTTTAAAAGTGGAATCAAGTTTACGTTATATGCACATACTGCTTTACATTTATATGTACATGATTATTTTTTTTCGACAGTGAATGCTTCATATAATACCGGTATATAATTTTTTTTTTTTAATTAGTTTACACAATTTTTATTTACTTATAAGGATGTTAGAGGGATAAAATGTGCATTTAGATACATTGTACATCAATGACGTATTGTCAATTAACAATGGTTATTTCCATTCTTATGTCGATACGATGTGAACTTGAAATCAAAGATACCACAGAATCTGACACGTTTCATATTTGAATATTTCACTTGAAAATGACGCTATTAGTAATCTAACAACCAAGCTAAATGATAAACGCGATGCCTTTATCTTTTCAATCGTCAGTTTCACTTACTTATACAGCAATATACCTTCATCACCTGCATACGGGGTTTATATCTCACAGTTGATTCGATATGCAAGAGCATGCTCTTTAATATACGTATGAACAATTTTTTAAACGAGGTAAGTTATCGAAAAACAAGTTGTTTATACAAGAATAATAGCGGTGTTACAACGCACTTTGAAAAATTACGCACTTTGAAAAAAATTTTCAAAGTGCGTTAAATTTGGGACCAAATCAACTCACTTTGAAAAAATAAAATTTCTTTTCAAAGTGCGTTAATATCGACCATATTAACGCACTTTGAAAAAATGTGTATGGATTGGTCAATATTCTTGCAAATCTTAGGTATGATAAATAATTGAACCTGTTTGATAACTCTTCTGTGATAGGTCACTTCAGGATGTGAAAGTGAGCGATTTTGATTTTTCCATACTTTGAAAATTCTTTCTCTCTTAAATGCTTTACTGTACTTAATTTTTTTCAGTTTGCAAGCATTTTATGTAAATTCAAATTTATTGAAGGTTTTCAACGTCATACCAGTTATGTAAGTACATATATTTGGATGTAGCATAGGCATCGGTACCGGGAATGGTGGGGTGGGGGTTGGGGTACATGTTGGCACACAAATGTTTTTCAAAGATATACATAATATATGTATGCATTAAAAATTGGGGCTTACCTGGGGGGGGGGGGGGTCAACTTTCAATTTGCTACCGACGGCTATGCACAATGTATAAGAAAAAAGAGTTGGGATGAGAGACCTTCTACTTGTCTTCTCCTTCTTCTCAATGAGGTTAAATGAGTACATGTAAATTAAAAAAAAAGTTTTTCGAAAGATATAATTATTACAAATTGATTCTATCTATTACTAAAATCTAAGTCTAGAATTTTTTGTTTCATGCATTTTTTTTTCAAAGTGCGTTAAATGCCTCCATGGTAAAAAATGTTAATGTACACTCTTAACGCAATTTGAAGAATGTTTTCAAAGTGCGTTGAGTGTGTCCAAAATTATACGCACTTTGAAAAATTTTTCAAAATGCGTTGATTTTGTCGCAATTTTAACGCACTTTGTAAAAAATTTTCAAAGTGCGTAATTTTTTCAAAGTGCTTTGCCACATAACGGTCTCTTTTAAAGTCATCATTTCGTAAGTTTTACATTCGATACAATGAACTTGTCAGCAAATTAAATCTATATGTATCATTGAGTCAAATGCTGACTGACATTTTTTATACTAATTGTTAGTCCATTAATTATACACTGAATTGTGGACACATTTTACTGTGATTCCCGATCATGACAAGGAGCACAAGGCGTGTGTAACTGGTCGACAGGGGATATTCACTCCTTCATGGCACCTAATTCCACCTCATGTTTTGGAGAAACGTGTCTCCTCTGCTCCTGCTTTGTATTGTTTAACAGACTTTTGAACTTGAATACTATTTGTAATTTCCATATATTTCATCTCCATATATTTAATTAATATATATTTCTTTTTTGAAAATATTAAAAATTAAAAACAAAAGCGCGATACCAGTATATAATATAGAACAAGTACATATAGGCATCATTATACCTTGATGTCATTATGTTTAATTTTGTATTGCTTCGCGTCTGAAACAACGTGTGTGACAACGTATGCGAAGAGCAAGTAGATTGGGCTTGATAAGTTTACTATTTTCTTTAATTCCAGAAAAAGTATGCCAAACGCATCAACATTCATGTCAGAATATAGTACGGCTTTAGTTGAAACAACTTTTACACCGGAAGTCCTATTCAACAGTACAACGCAGACTCCCGGGATTATGAACACTACAATACTGTCTTCTGGAACTATCAACACTACCATGTTAACTTCTGAGACTTCATCTATAACAATCTTCGATTACATCAATTACGTTTTCCTGCCTGTATCTGTGTTACTTGGCGTTGTTGGAAACTCACTGACTGTCCTTGTAATGCGCACAGACCGTTTTTCCGGTTCCCCATTTTCATGCCTGCTAATTGTCCTAGCTCTGTCCGATTTGGTTGCTCTCCTCTCTCAACCCTTTAACAAGGCTTTTTTCATTGAGTTGATTGGACAGGATATCAGGGCTATACATGATATAACTTGTAAACTGTACATTGTGATTCGACGTACCTCCAAGATGATGTCATCATGGATGGTTGTCGGCCTTTGTTTAGAGCGGTTTATTGCTGTCTGGTTTCCAATGAAAGCCAAGTATTTAATTTCTAAACGACTGGTATTGACCTTTATCATTTCAATCTTGGTGATCATCGTTTCGTTTAATGGTGCATGGAGCTATGCATCTCGGGTTCTTGATGGACAGTGCAATCCAGATGTGTACGATCACTCCGATTCAAATGAAAGGTTAAAGTTCGGACTGATGCTTCAGATGGGAACCGCTATTTACTCTATGGTACCGATAGTTATCCTAATTTTCCTGACTACACTCATCGTTGTGAAGTTATTTAAACATCAGAGATGGCGACGGAGCTTAAATTCACGACCTTCCAGCGACAACGAAGGCCGAATCACAGCCATGCTGATATGTATCGTCATCGCCTACGTCATACTGATTTTACCTATCACTATAATACACAATGTGGCGTATCAGAAACATGTGCATGCGTACTCAGAGAAATCCTATAAATTTAGCTCCTTCAAGGAAGTCGCACAATGGATGGAACAACTTAATTACTGCCTTAATTTCTTTTTGTACGTAATGACTTCAAAGCAGTTTAGACAACTGTTATGTAACATTGTATTCAAGAATTCTAGAGTACAATAAGATGGATATAACAAATAGATACTGTATACAGGGTTATTTTCGCCCCTTGTTATTTTCGCCCTTTTGCGCTTGCAAACAATTTTGCCCCGTTTTAAATTCGCCCATTCATAGTTTTATTTAAGAAATTATGCTGTGTAATTTGAATTCGCCCAGTTTTAAATTCGCCCAATCAAGAAGAGGGCGAAAGGGGCGAAAATAAAACGGGGGCGAAAATTTCCATGTATACAGTAAAAAAAATGAAGGAATCACATTGTAATAATTTCTCTTCCTAAGATTTAAATCGACACCGGGTCATTCCATGCGTTTGCGAAATACCCCTTTACAATGATCGCTAAACCATGAAACTTCTTATTTAACATATTTCATCTTGCTTAAATCAGTGACTGGTTTGATGAGGTTCTCAGCAAAACATAATGTACATGTATTGGAACGCTTTGTGAAGTAAATTTTAATGAGTGAATTTAAGGGTGGTGTTACTAAATGAAAAGAATGAAATTACAGTATGGAAAATTAATATGTTAAATATTCCGGTTTGGGTTTTTTTCCTCTGTCAAATTCTAAATTACACTATTTTTTTTAAATTTATACATCATGTCAAAATAGATTAAATATTGTTATAAGAACTCTAAACGATAAATAGCTCAGTGTACTTTTATAATCTCTATTCTGTCAGTATCAAAATATTTAGTGCAATAAGTCTTTTTGGAATGGGTTTTTTTTTTGGTTAAAAATTCAGATTTTATCCATTATTACTTTGTTTAAAAAAACCAATATAATTGTACGTACACGTACACGGAAATTGATATAAAAAAGATACTAGTCTTGAGTTCCTGATTAACAATTCTACGGTTTTTGGAGAACAGGTCTTCCAACAATCTATTGGAATGCCCATGGGTACCAACTGCGCCCCCTTATTAGCAGAATTTGTTCAAAATCTTATACGTGAAAAGAAGAAAACACTTGCTGTGGCATTCAACTCGACATTTAGATATATTGACTAAGAGTGGTTATTTTCATTCTTATGTCGAAACGATATATCTTGGTAAGCTTGAAATTAAAGACACCACAGAGTCTGACACATCTGGTTCATATCTAGATGTTTTACTAGACGAAGACGATACTGATAATCTAACAACAAAGCTTTATGATAAATGTGATGGCTTTTCAATCGTCATCTTCCCTTACTTATGCAGCAATATACCTTTATCACCTCAATTTGGGGTTTATATAAGTTGATTCGATACGCATGAGCTTGTTCTATGTATGAATAATTACTGAAACGAGATTAGTTATTGACAAAAAAAAAAAACAAAAACAAAATAAGGATATCATCTTCCCTGTCTTGTCATATCAATGGACATTTGAATGACAGATCGGTAATCTTAAAACTTAAAAAAAGTCATTGGTCTAAGAGTGCATTGTGGAAAAGCACTTTGAAAAAATTACGCCCTATGAACATTTTTTTTAAAGTGCGTTAAAATTGCGACAAAATCAACGCACTTTGAATTCTTTTTCAAAGTGCATTAAATTTGGGAAACACTCAACGCACTTAATTTTTTTTTTCAAAGTGCGTTAAGTGTGTACGTCAACATTTTTTACCATTGGGACATTTAACACACTTACAAAAAAATATGTATAAAACAAAAATTCTAGACTTAGATTTTAGTAATTGAGGAAAACAACTTGTAATAATTATCTCTTTCGAAAAACTTTTTAAATTTACATGTATTGATTTACCCTCATTAAGAACGAGGAGAAGATGAGTAGAAGGTCTCTTAGCCCAACTCTTTTTTCTTATACTTAGCCGTCGTTAGCAAAGTGAAAGTATAGACCCCCCAAAGGTAAGCCCCAATTTTCAATGCCTATATTATGGATGTCTTTGCAAAACATTTGTGTGCCTAAACCCCCACTACTTCCCGGAACCGATGTCTATGCTACAATTAAATGTACGTATTTGCATACCTGTAACTGGTATGACGTTGAAAACTTTCAATAAAGTTTAGTTTACATAAATGATGTGTGCAAACTGGGAAGAAAGTACAGTAAAAGATTTAGGAGAGAAAGAATTTTAATTCAAAGTAGGGAAAAAATCAAAATCGCTCACTTTCACATCCTGAAGTGACCTGATCACCGAAAAGTTAGGCAACAGGTTCAATTATTTATCAAACGTAAGATTGACCAATTAACGCACTTTGAAAAGAAATTTTATTTTTAAAAGTGCGTTGATTTGGTCCCAAATTTAACGCACTTAAATTTGAAAATTTTTTTCAAAGTGTGTAATTTTTCAAAGTGCGTTGTAATAGTGCATCGTGATTTTGACCAGTCTGAAAGGTTATGTTCATTTATGAAAGGGTATGAACTTAAAAATGGATTTTTTATTCATTTACTAAAAGAGCACTTTTACACATTTTGTAAGGCTTGGCAAATGCATAAGAATATCAATCTGCCCAAATACGTAAATCTTTACATCAGGAAACTTAAACACAACAAATATTGAAATACATCAAGGTCCTTTTAATTTACCATTATTTATTAAAGTAAACAAAAATTGAATTCGATGGTATTCAATCATTAAAGGTATGTATGGAAAAGAGTATATGTTGAGTTTTTGACTTTTATTTGCAACATCCAAACCAAATGACATGCACACTTTTGTTGTAAAAGTATAATAATCGTTGTTTGCTTGTTATTTAGTGTAAATCTGGAAAATCACAGATGCAAGGTTTAGTACACTATTTTAGAACAATTTTAAAATCAGTAAAATTTCATGCCTTACTTTAGTTGCCCAATCCCTCCAAGTCATACATAGAAAGCATGTACTTGAATATACATAAAGATGTTAAGTTACAATCTCTATTATTTCAGAAAAAAGGAATACAATTCTGAGAAGAGATAACATTTTTTAAAAATCAACTATACCGGTATTTTTATCTTCATACGATCGAACCGAAGTTAAAATACTAGTTTTCTGTAAATACACAAAACATTTCATTAAAATACAGTCGTTTGGCCAGTTCCGGATTTTGGCCAGTTCCGAATAATTAGTAATTTAAGGACTGATAATTAATAAATTCAACGGTGTAAAAATAAATTGATTTTTATGTAAGAAGGCTTATTCATGAGTGTTTGAATTATATGAAGTTTTGATTTTTTGCCCTCAGTTTGGTTTCGTTATCGTACTTGAAACAGTCGACACACTTTTACAATGCAACAAATCTGAATCACCGCGACGCGTAAGTCTGCAGAAAAACCTCTGTAGATGCATAAATTTTTCACATAAAACAACGTTCTAGGTATCAAAAGTAAGTTTGATATGTACTCTAACATATACTAAAAACATGTCAAAAATAAATATTTAGAACACTGGAAATATAAATATTTTTTAAATGCTCTTATTTTACCAGTTCCGAATACCCATTTTAAACACTATTATAAATTCACTCTTCGATCTTTTCTTCCCTGTAAACGTGACTTATTCTACCCCCGCTTGAAAAACAGGAAGAACCGGTATATAGTAATGGGGTGTTTGTCCATACGTCCGTCTGTACGTCCGTCCGTCCGTCTAGCTGTATGTCCGTCCGTCTGATATGCTCTGGGTTATGAGGCGCCGTTTTAATATTTATAAGGTATTTTCTGATATCAAAAAATCACTTTGTGATATCAGAAATTCGATTTTTTATATCAAAAAATCAATTTCTGACATCAGAAAATATATTTTTTGATATCAGAAAATAAACAAGATTTTTTGATATCAAAAATTCTAATTTCTGATATCAGAAAATCATTTTTTGATATCAAAAATTCTAATTTCCGATATCAAGAAATCATTTTTTGATATCAAAAAATCTTCGGGATTTTATGATATCAAAAAATGTAATTTCTGATATCAAATTTCGAATTCTTGATATCAAAAAGTCATTTTCTGATATCAAAAATTCGAATTTCTGATATCAAGAAATCATTTTCTGATATCAAAAAATCGATTTTCTGATATCAGAAAATGATTTTTTGATATCACAAAATCAAACTGATTTTTTGATATCACAGAATTCAATTTTTTGATATCATAAAATAAAATAAAATTGCGAAAAATCTTTACATAAATAATGAATTCCCCACTTGAACTTCAGTGCCAGATTTGCTTTCCACTAAAGTTTGTTGCTTTCAAATGAAAGAATTTAATAAGTGTTCTTGATACTTTTTGGTCATATTTATTTGCATGGAATTCAAATATATTACATTTGTATTTTTCAATTTTGGATAAATCTGAGTAAATAATGTAGGTGTGCTAAAGGTTGGGCTTAGACTGAGAATTTCTCTGTAACCCCTATCAACAGCAGCCATTAGCTTCCCCAATTGATTTTGTGTAAAGTGATGTTACATCACAGCTGACCAGCAAGTACTCGTTGAGTGGTCGCAGAAGTTCATTCTTCAAGGTGAAGTCTGAGCTATCCATAAAGTTTTTGAATTGATTTTAATAAAAATATAGTCAATACTGAAAAAACCAACCCCCCCCCCAAAAAAAAAAAAACCCGACGGCATCCTAACATCCAGACACGTCTTAAACTTATTAGAATTCAACAATGTTTGCAACTAATTTGTGTGACGGGAAGCTATGTTCATCACGGGGAGCATTCATTAAGTCAAACGTAATTTTACTTGGTTCTTATTTTCTGATATCAAAAAATCGATTTTGTGATATCAGAAATTATTTATCATTTTTTGATATCAAAAATTCATTTTTTGGTATCAGAAATTTGAATTCTTGATATCAAAAAATGATTTTCTGATATCAGAAATTCGAATTTTTGATATCAAAAACTCTTGTTTATTTTCTGATATCAGAAAATGTTTTTTTCTGATATCAAGAATTCTTGATTCTTTTTTGATATCAGAAAATCATTTTTTGATATCAAGAATTCGAATTTTTGATATCAGAAAATGATTTTCTGATATCAAAAAATCTATTTTCTGATATCAAGAATTATTTTTTGATATCAAAAAATATTTTTTGATATCAAGAATTCGAATTATTGATATCAATAATTTCTTTTTTGATATCAGAAAATACCTCAAAAATATTAAAACGGCGCCTCATAATGGGGTATCCATTTCTTATCCGCAACCCCTCTTCTACCACTGAATGAAGTTTAATGAGGCTTCACAGAATTTAATGAGTCTTTCACAGAATCTTTTTTTAACAGTGCCAAAGTGCACCTATTCTATTTTTGGATCTGGTACATAATTTTGGCTCCCTGAGAAAAACATAGATACTGCCATTCTTTGTAATATTGAAAGGTATATCCATCTCTTGTCCGCAATTCCTCCTATACCACTGAATAAGATTTAATGATACTTTCACATATTCTTTATTGCATTGTGACATTGTGACCTATTATTTCACTTTTTGATCTGATATTTATTTCGGGTCTCCCAGAGTAAAACATGGACTTTGTCTTAAATAATCATAAAGGAGGCGTGGGGTATCATTAAAATGAGCTCAGTGCCCACAGTACCTCTAGTTTCTCTTCAACCTTTGGAAATACAAATAATTTATTGGTAGGCAATTAATTTAACTTTTCTTAGGCATGCCAATTGATAACGTCTGGGACGTATATTTGTTAATTTAGGGTTGAATTGAATAAGAATCTCTAGGGTATCCGGAACCCGTCGGCTTATTCGTAACTGGTAAAATGGACACCTATGGTAACTTGCGAAATAAATTTTTTTGAGGGAAGGCTGAACTTTTATGAAACAATATTTAATTCTGCAAGTCATCGAACTACCTTGACAAAACACTTAGATTTTGAAATAATTCCTAGTACATTTGTAGCACCGTCGAATCGGTTTCTTATTCGGAACTGGCCAAATAACTGTATGTATAGTGCTGCGAAATATCCAACCCAACTATAATTTGATAATATTGATGAAAATAATAAATAAGATTTTAAGCTTGTATTTATCTTGCATATATTGTATCTGTATTTCTCACTTTGAATATGTTCTATATTGGTTTTGATTGTGTATTTCATGAGTTTTGTCTCAAAAGTATTTTCACGAGTAATATTAATGAATGTTTTGTAATTCTTATATTTGTAACTCCTTAAAAATATAATAAAACTGAATTGACAATTCAATCGGATGTTCTTTTTATCTTCATTATAAAATTTACTCTCATGTATGCATGTCTCAAAATAGAAAAAACATCCACCAAAAAGATCTACTAGATTTACATAGGGTAAATTTTACATACAATCTTAATTCATTTTCGTATGTTCTTTTGTCAAGCCATCTTCCTTGCAGTGCGACATGTTTACCTGACTGATGCAAGGAGAATCACTGCTAGGAATATCACCTCTCCCATTACATCCTTTCTTCATTTCAAATGCTTCGATATAATCGCCACTGAGTGCAGGTCTACTTAGACCACTAAGCGGACAATCTTCTGTTTGGGAATGTAACAGGAACCGTCCTTGATCACAGAATTCAGGGGGTACTAACTCCTGATACGTAGAAGTAGAAGTTCGAACTTCCCGCGGCTCAGACTGCCTGGCTGCCATATATGTGTCGTTTCCGTCTTGTCGGATTCTGCGCACAATGTAGACTATACAAGCAACAATGAAACCAAGGAACATCATAAAACATAGCAAGGCGATAACGTAAACCCAGATCGGCGTTTTACTTCCTTTTATTGTATTAGCTTCGCATTTGGATTCGCATTCTAAATCAGAAGAGATAATATTTTATTTTTTAAAGTCTGGTTATTATCTTGTAAAGAAGACAATTTTATATGAACTTAAAATTTGATTTAAACAAGAGGCCCATGGGCCACATCGCTCACCTGAGCACTGTGGCTAGGAAAAAGTAGAATTTGGTTTATTATTGAAAAGTTTAAATCCAAAAGTAGTCCCATGACCAATCATGGCTTTACTATTCTTGAGAAGAAATTTTTAAATATTTTCCTATATATTTCTAAGCAAAAAATTTGTTGGCCATTGTGGCCCCGCCCTACCCCCCTGGGTTATGATTTGAACAAACTTGAATCTACACTACCTTAGGATGCTTCCAAATAAATATGGTCAATTATGGCTTTACTATTATTGAGAAGATTTTTAAAGAATTTTCCTATATATTTTTATGTAAAACTTTGGTCGTCCACTGTGGCCCCGCCCTACCCCCTGGGGTCATGATCTGAACAAACATGAATCTACACAACCTGAGGAAACTTCCATATAAGTTTCATCTTTCCTGCACAGTGGTTCTTGAGAAGAAGATTTTAAAGAATTTTCCTATATCTTTCTATGTAGAAACTTGGTCGGCCATTGTGGCCCCTCCCTAGCTACCCCCGGGGTCATGATTTGAACAAACTTGAATCTACACTACCTGAGGATGCTTCCATATAAGTTTCAGCTTTTCTGGCATAGTGCTTCTTGAGAAGAAGATTTTTAAAGAATTTTCCTATATCTTTCTTTGTAAAACTTTAGTCGGCCATTGTGGCCCCGCCCTACCCCCGGGTGTCATGATTTGAACAAACTTGAATCTACACTACCTTAGGATGCTTCCATTAAAGTTTCAGCTTTCCTGGCATAGTGGTTCTTGCGAAGAAGATTTTTAAAGAATTTTCCTATATATTTCTATGTAATACTTTGGTCGGCCATTGTGGCCCTGCCCTACCCCCCGGGGTCATGATTTGAACAAACTTGAATCTACAATACCTGAGGATTCTTCCATATAAGTTTCATCTTTCCTGGCACAGTGGTTCTTGAGAAGAAGATTTTTAAAGAATTTTTCTATACCTTCCTTTGCAAAACTCTGGTCGGCCATTGTAGCCCCGCCCTACCCCTGGGGGTCATGATTTGAACAAATTTGAATCAACACTACCTGAGGATGCTTCCATATAAGTTTCAGCTTTCCTGGCACAGTGGTTCTTGAGAAGAAGATTTTTCAAACATGCCACTAATTTTCCAAATTATCTCCCCTTGAATAAGGGCGTGGCCCTTCATTTGAACAAAATTGAATCCCCTTTACCCAAGGATGCTTTGTGGCAAGTTTGGTTGAAATTGGCCCAGCGGTTCTTGAGAAGAAGTCGAAAATGTGAAAAGTTTACAGACAGACAAACGGACGGACAGACAGACTACAGACGAAATGTGATCAGAAAAGCTCACTTGAGCCTTTGGCTCAGGTGAGCTAAAAACATCTCAAACAGTTAATTATAAGATGGGATTTTTTTTGTCTGCAAATACAATTATCATTGAGTCAAATGCTAACTGACATTTTTCATGCTAAATATTAGTTTCATTTCATACTTCTTGAATTGAAAAATTAATGAAATTCTAGTAGAATCAAGAAAACAATAAACACGGTGAAGGGCATTTCCTTTCCCTGGGCATTAAATATAAAAAAAAATTACTGCTGTCATACACGCGATACCTATTTTTATTCCAAAAAGTTAAAACACTTTTTACAAATTTTAGGCTCAGATCTGTACTTGGATCGGAAGAAGCTTGTAAAAAATAACAAAATTGTACTTTGTTTGGAAAATTATATTTCTTTGATATTCATGTATTTAAAAACTTAAGTCCCTTGTTATCAATTTCACATGTGAAAAAATTTCTTCAAGTCTTTGATTGCTTAAAATGATATTGGTTACGAAATTCATTGTTCTATAGATAGTAATATTGAGAAGCCGAAAAGATATATTCAAACGCCGTCATTCCCATCAAAAATAATTATTCCTGCTTGATTTTAAACTCCGTTAACTACTTGAATTTAAAGTTGCACAATCGTGATGAGAAATGAAAAATATGATGTTCAAATCTCTCACATATAAATATATAAGAAATATAAGTAAATGTGATTTGAATATTTCATCTAGTCAGAAACAAGACAATCCTGTCTAAAAGTGCTTCTTTTCTTTCGTTTGAATTTGTCATCAAATAGCCGAAGATATCCTAAAATTTCATTTCAGAGTATCTTGAATTATTACTGGAATATAAAATACCTGTCGATAAACACTGTTGATGGGGACAAACCTCCATAAAGTGACAGAACCCTTTGATCCGCTCCCCATTCACTGTACTTGTACACCAGGAACATCCAGAGCTTCGAAAACACTCACTACAACAAAAGTGCTAGTTTCACTTAATGCCTAAAATGACCCTGTTCTTATACACGTAACAATTAATAGACTATCAACCTCTATCCCTGTTTTATATTGTAACGTGTCAAAGCTTCGAACAATATAGGCATTTTGACAACCTTTAGTAAAAAAAAACCCCAAGAAAACCCTAGTCCATTTTAAAAGGAAATTACAGGATATGGGGAAAATGGCACATCAAATGGCGTAATAATGCCTTGACTAGGGAGAAATATGTCTTATTCAATAGATTTATCATAATCAAGGACCCAAATGATAAATACAACAAAAATGGACAGCTTCAATTTCAGACAACCACAGGACCGAAAAGACACAAAGTGCTGGTTGCTCTTAGTAACACTTCGTAAAAAGATGTACATAGAACTGGTAATGGAATCAGAAAACTGCCAGCAATGGTCTCTGAGTTAAGCTAGAAGTATTCTAGTGCACGTATATATCTAATTGAAAACTATAACTTTCATATCACAATGACATCACAGCACCTTATAAAAGAACAACAACCTATGATAATAAAACCAAAGCACATAATGATAAACCAATAGCATATACTGTAAACGTATTACTTTTGGCGGTGTATTCTTTTTAGCGTTTTTGGCGGAAAGAAACTTCCGCTAATTCAAGTACAACGCTAAATGTCTTAAACATATATACATTAATAAAAACATCAAGAAATGCGCTAAATCAAATCTACGCTAACTTGTTCAAAAATCAATTTCCGCCAAATATTGTTCACGCTAAATATAATACATTTACAGTAATAATTACATCATGCACAACATATAATTAAAGATTCACTGCAAATAATTATGAACCAACAGCATGAAATATCATGGGTACTCAAAGCATACAATAGAACACTTAACATAAGGCAATATAGCCCAGTGACTCCTCAACTTTGTATCATTTTAGAAATAACCTCGGTCTTAAACGCCATATGCAAGTGATAACCGTGTTTTATTACATAGAAAAAAAATATTGACGATATTAAAAAAAAAACCAACAAACATTTTGATTCTGTTTTTCTGGGAAAGAAAAAAATGCTGAAAATATAAAAAAACCTCTCTGTATTCCTGCATGTACAATTGAGAGGAAAACACCGATCAAGTTTGGCGATTTTGCTTATTTCATTGATGCTAACGGACGTCAATTTCGGAACTTCATGGCTGCATGGTATTACTGTGTCCCTATGAAAAACAAAGTAAAGATATAAAGTTTTTTTTTTTTAAATAACTTTACTGAAAATCTAATCAACAGTGATAATCAGTATAATATTTTTATCGTTTTAAATGTATACATGTTATTATTTTAATTCAATATTTATATAAAAGGGAAATACATGTATAATGAAATATTATACAAATCACTGGACTAATTTCATCTTACCTATTTTGGTACTTATTCTCACAGTCGTTAAATTCTAACTGTTCGTAACAGAGGCAAAGACACCCGTCTGACAGACACTTCTTTTCGTTTGGTGGACGAGATGGATCCTGAAATAGATAAAAACGATTTACAAGTGAAGGCTGAAGAACTGAGTACTACTCAAATATAGAAGATTTGATTCTGTCAGATAGAATTGTTCTTTATGACTTTGTACCTTGCAACAGGATATTTCTTCATTCATATGTCTGCTTTTCAAAATAAGAAACAGATTTGACATTGGGACAGGGCGAAGTTCATATCCTTCTGCTTTATTCACGACACCATTTTTCTTGGTTTGTGGCAATTTAACCTCAAAATAAGATTACAATATATTGCATTTCTTTTTAATTTTAAAATATTTGATTTATTGTACAGTCGATTAAAAGTATTATCTTTGGAAAAAGTTACTCTGAATGTTATAAGTTCCCTTTTGTTTTCCGTATCCCTGCATGGCTGTTGGTATAGTATCCCTTCCGATGTCAGATATTTGGAAATCAGCATTTCCTGGATATATTTTTAACAGACTTCAATTAAACATGATATTTCTAAAAGCGCTTCGACTTAAATGATATGAATATTGAATATTTCTAACATCAATTTCAGTACCCTAAAACGCGTACATGTAGTACCTTGTGGGTAATGTGAATCGGATAGCTGATCTTGTTCGTTGTCTCTGTGAAGTATGGATGCATAACCAGAAAACCGCTATCGTCAATTACAATGCAGCTGAAGAATTATTCAAACAAAAGCCATTGTACAAGATAAATCGTCATCAAGTACAAACAAAATTTGTTTTATTTAACATTCTCATTTTTATATAAACATGTAATTAAATAAATATTTTCTGGAATATTTATCAAGGTAATTGATTATTTCTTTAAGAGGAACGATGATATTATTATGACCGATCGGCAGGGATTCCTCACTCCATCTTGGTACCAGATCCCATCTCTGAATATTTTTAGGTCCATGTTTGCTCTGCTCTTATTTTGTATAGTTTAATGGACTTTTGAACTGAAATACTCATATAGTTATCTCCATATATTTCACCGAAAACTAGAAAAAAAAACTTTGTCTATCATCCAGATGTTCATTTTTTCTTACACAAGTAAAAGTGCTTAATCTTTTGAACATATAGCTGTAGTATATTTCTCACCTGAATTCTGTCCTATTCCTACACAGAGGATACAAATCCAGCAACATCTGATGAAGGAAGTAAACAGAGAGATCCGCTCCCACCACGGCTTCCACCTTCTCACCAGGAGATCTTTGATGTATATATATCATATGATTGCTACTGTATTAATAATTAGGAATTTTACAGCCATACATATTCCTATATACATCAATACAGTAAAACCAGACTATACCCGTACCTTCCAATCAGAATAGACCGTGATAAAGTGATTACTCTTCCCATTCCACCAAAAAGATCCTCGTATGGCGGAGACACAACGTTTATTGTTTTCTGTGATAACGTTTTTCGATACCTGTCCCCAGGTAAGAAAAATAAAAATCAACATAAAACTGTTTCGAAAAACCTTAAATATTAAGTACTTTTATCTTTTCTTACCTAAAAATGTGAACTCAAACAATTTTTATTGATTTAACAAATAATGTTACACTTTTGATTAAAGAATTATATTTTTATTTAAACATTAGTTTTTTAAACATGTGAATTTTTAAAGAAAAATATTGCTAACATGTTTTATTTGTTCAATTACAAACATACAGATGAACCTGCCGTAATACATGTATGTCTACTGCGACTCAGTACAAATAGTACAGTCATAACATTATATCTTACCAGGGCCTCAGATTGGGGTCGTAATCATCAGATAACCGGACACCGGGGTAAACTCTCACTACACCGTCCTCCGTCATCACGTACCGCCATAATAGCTGAAATGCCTGACCAGAACTTGTCCTCCAAAAACGTTCGATCGGAGAAGTGGCTCTAAGGGAGTTTAATGCAGATTTCTGGTAATATATAAATAAAATTACAAATACCGTATGCTATTGTTATGATTAACTTGAAAACAAAAAAAGAAAGCTATGTACTTTATTGAAAGGAATATTTTCCCCTAGTGTTTTCTTAATTAATCACCTTTTGTAAAGGGGATAAAAACCACATTTGAATAATTTTGTTTTGAGAAATATACAAATTATTATCAAAAATAAAATATGATCTCAAAATTCACAACAATTTAAAAAAAATCACCACGAAAATGACATTTGATTAGTTGTGAATTAATGACAAGGAGAGCACAGCGTGTGTGACCAATCGGCTAGGGATGATACCTCTTCTATAGCACTTAATATCACCGCTTATGTTTTAGAGATCCATGTTTGCTCTGCTCCTGATTTTTATTGTTTAAATGGACTTTTGAGATTGAGAAACGTCCGTAATCTCCATATATTTCGTGAAATTGATATGGAAAGAACACACATATTTCGGAGTTTTTTGTCAAGGAAACCGATGCCTCATTATTGCTTACAACATGCAAACATGTATTACAAGACGGCAAAAAGAGTCACTTCATTTATCTCTAGTTTTCAAACATTTGTCTGAGATTTTTATTTTTATGATTTTACCTTTAATCCAGGATTAGTTTGGATGACGCCAGAAATATATTGTTCGTACATGTAAATTTCAGTCTCTGTCTCCATTGCTTGTTTGTAGATATCAAAACCCTCGTATGCATCTGCAGTAAACTTCACCGATGTTTTGTCTGAAAAATTAACGAATCTGTAACTAATTGTAAGCTGTATAATATTTTGATGTTAAGAAGTCATGTCTTGAAAAGGGGTGTTATCTTACGTTTTTGTTGTTTTTTTTAATAACTTTGATTTGAGCCCACTCATCTGAAATCGTTCCGTTATACATTTTGTAGCCCTATGCCTCTGTTCCTTATTTTCAAACTTCAAATTCTTTGCCAATGTCAAACGTAGACATTGTCTTTAAAGAATTCATTATCATAAATAAAAAAGTAAGTTCATACCCTTAGTTGCATATCTGTTGTGATATATACATCCTACTGTCGGCCATTTTATTAGATCCCAGCGGTGATACAGAAAATCTCCCTTTTTAGGACTAAGAGACTCCAGTGTCTTTATTGTAGTATTCTTCTCCATCACAACACACAAGGACAAGTTACTTCCACTTACATTAATCTAAATAAAATTATTTTCAAAAAAATCATTTGGTTCTTATTCATGATAGCAAAAGTAATTTATGTTCTGTGTGCTTTTACACATCAAGCATTACTAGTATTTTTTCCCGAGTGGTACTTTCGTAAATTTTGAATATGCAAACAAAAGAATATTTATCATTTCTTAACAATATTTTCCTTTATTTTTAACAAAAGTCTGTGACAGTGTTACCGGGACCCATGTATACACAGCTTCCACTGTTCTTGACAGGTCTCCATCTCTAAGTCTATCTCCTCTACTCTCTATCATTGTCGTTGTTAAACGTTTATGGCCAATCTGACCCCTATTTAATTGGAAAAGGAAGAAAATAATTTTGGGAAAAAAATGAAGCTAAATCTTTCTTCACGGAGGATGTAATATCCTAGTTAAATAATAAATTACTTGTTGGAATTTAAACGTTATCATAGATCTAAATCTAGTGAAATCTTAATGTTTTTTATTAATTATGTTTTAGAATCATCAAGTTTTATTTTTACTTTTGGTTATAAAAATTATGCGAAGGGACTATAATGAAGTTGCTTGACTTCCTTCAGCTTTTATTTTAAAGAACTACAAGATCATCTTACAATGATCTCTAACTGCATTAAACATGAAAGGCATGAAAACTGTTACTTTCTTCTTCATTGAAATTATAACTTGGTCGACATCTCCAGCCGTCTCAAAATTGAAGATGTTATTGACGTCATAACTTTGCGTGTTTGCATCACGTGGGTCTGGGAAAAGCGGATGCACCAGAGTTCGCTCTTTGCCATCGATGATAAAAGCGTAGGAATGTTCTCCATGTTGTAAATGAATTATCTCTGGGACAAGCTCACTCAAGCGAATATCTGCACAAACTACACCGATAAAGTCTCCTTTGTGTCCAATGGGTAAACAGCCCGAAATCACAAACTCTGAACGAGAAAGGACAAAACAATAAGTTGTTTGGATGTATCAATAAACTCAAACGACATCACGATATAGCTACATAATATTAACAGAGTACCAAAGGAAAATCCATATGTCCCATTGGCATTGATCAACAATGACGATTTTTCCACATATTAACCCATTTAGTATTGAATAAGGGTCACGATTGTCAGAAATGGGTGCAAAAATCAACAATCAATATTCTTTCTTTCAGTACAGTATATAAAACAAGCTCTATCAAATAAGAAAGCATAATACCTTTGCTTAAGAAATCTTTATAAGGAAGAGTATATGTCGGGATCTGTGATATGGGTATACTGGAGCTATAGTAATACATTCCCATAATTTCTCTTAGAGAGGACCCTTTGAGATCCTCTATCATATTGCAATTTCCAGTCTGAAATAAAATTAATTTTATTGAATGATTATCAATTTTATCAAAGAAAAACAACAATCAGGAAAATGACAAAAACATGAACGAGAACAAACATGAAGGAAATGGAGGTAACGAACTGTATTCAAGATCAGAGGTCCATAAAACAATACAAAATAGGAGCAGAGCAAATACGGACCTCTAAAACATCAGAGGTGGGATCAGGTGCCATATGGAGGAGTGAGCATCCCCCACCGACTGGTCACACCCGCCATGTGCTCCTTGTCATGATCGGGAAATAACAGAAAAACCCGTCGTCAATTCAGTTTATAAAAAATGGATCAATTATTAGTATGAAAAACGTCAATCAGCATTTGACACAATGATTAATTGTATCTGCTGACAAGGTCATTGTATCGACCAAAGAACTTACGAAATGATGACTAATACGAGACTGCTGATATTCTTGTTTCATCAACTTGTTTGTCAATAATGTATCTCGTTTTAGAACTTGTTCATATGTAGAGCATTCTCTTGCGTATCGAATCAATTGAGATAAATTAACGCCATATGCAGGTGATGAAGGTATATTACTGCATAAATAAGGACATGCAGTTGATGATATATCGTATCGACATAGGAATGGAAATTATGATAATCATTGTTAATTCACAATATGTCGTCGATATATCAAAATGTTGAGTTGAAAGTAACAGCAGGTGTTTTCTTCTTTTCACACATAAAATTTTGTACAAATTTCACTTCATATGAATACAAAATTAGTCTGCTGATAACGGAGCGCAATTGGCACCCATGGGAATTCCAATATATTGTTGGAAGACATGGTCACCAAAAACTACACAGATATTGTTAATCAGAAACTCAAGACTCTTTTTGATGTCAACTTCAGAGTACTTGTGTGTGCAGTTAGAATGTGTTTTAACAAAATAATTTTGCAAATGACCTATTACCAGGGAAGTAAATTTAAGAGTTCAATTTTTATTAAGCGGTTAGCTAGCTAACCGCTTTATGGCATGGGCCTCCAAAAACCGGAAACTTCCATAAGGCGCTACCTATCGACATCGCTTTATATCCTTCTGCAACCCAAAGAAACTTCCACAAGGCGCTACCTATCGACAACGGTAACTTCACCAAAGCGCTTCCTATGATTTGTATACTGTTGGCGTAGTACGCCCCCTGGTGAGAGATTGACAATAAGCTGTGTATGAAGAGTGGCTATTATAACGATTATATCGAATTCTTATTTTTTACCAAAGCATTGACAATACTTAGAACACTAACTTTGTTGGTTAAATACATTGCGATGATTATAGCAACAAAGTTGATGCGGTTAATTATACAGCAGGTTGAAGGTTATTACTTGCAAAAACATCAGGAGTTTGATTTTCCTTGCTAAAGTATTAAGAAACACCATTTATTAAGTTAAGTAATACCTGAAAAACGCTTTTATAAAAACACCGAATGCATCTGCAAGTTTTACACTTTTTGTAACGTTTTTATGGAAACAATAGGAATATGAAACGTTTGTTTTCTTCTCTTTTCTTCTCTGTCTAATAAACAGATTATAAAAGCTCTGCTCCCAGGGGTTCTCTACTCCGTCTTTGATAATTTATGACAAACGATCATAAGGGATCACTTACTTTTAGTTTTGAAAAAAAATAATGGGGCACTTAAAGTAGTAAAATTAATTTTGAAAAAGAATGGATAAATATATATTAATTTTAATCGGCATTGTGATTCTCTTCTAAAAATCAACCGATATTATTATTCACAGAAAAATAAGGTATGAAAAATCTTGGCAATTAGCAAAAATTTGAAATATATACTTAATGCTTATTTATAAGTTTTGAAAATTTGATCAATTCCCAAGGAACATATTATTAGCTGAGAAAATACTTTTTAAATTTGAATTTGTCCAATTTGTCGATTATTATTTTGAGTGTTTAAGAAGAATTAAATTAAAATACAGGTGTTTAGAGGCACATTGTTAGAAAAGAAATCAGTGTATATTGTTTATCCGACCTTTTGAAGAAAGTAACACTGATAACTTCTTAAGTTACACTGACAATTAGTGTACATTTGAATTTTTAAATACTAGTATTGATTGATTAGACAACTTTCCTTTTCACATGTTTTATTTGAGAACAATATTGCATGAAGAGTATATGGCAAATACATTTATATGTCCTTATCTAGACATATTGTGCAAGACTTCTTTTAAATGATTCTCATATACCATTTACTTTATTCGAACATTTACTTGTTTGAAAAGTCAATAAGGTACATTTCATAAAGCTTGATAATCTTGTTTACTCGCCAGTCTTCCGTAGAAGTAGTAGTTCATAATATTAAAACGGAAGTATTCAGTATCTGTATCAAAATACAGAATGATCAATGATCGATTTAAGATGAAAAGCTGATTCCTGAAAGTTCAAGAGATGGGATCCGTTGCCTAGAAGAAGTAAGCATCCCTCGTTGACAGGTTACACCCGTAGTGAGCCTACACATCTGGAGCTCTCTGATATCAATTCATTTAAAATCAGCCATCCTTTTTTCTCTGACTAGGCAGCTGTAGATCTATACTACTTCAAATCCATTAATCTAAAGAATTTAATTTGTCATTTTTTTTAGTTGTTTGCTATATACAATTACCTAATTTCAGATTCAATAGAACATGAAAGACAATTAAATTTTCAGCATCAACATAATTGTTTTCATCCAGAGAACGATTGGATGCCACCAAGAGAGAACTTTTAAAAATGCACTTCCTGTCTTTCAAACTGAAGAAATCATGTTTAAATTTCAAACATGCATTTCAATCTAATTAAAATTTATTTAAATGTTCCAAATGCTACCGCTTCTCAAACATTAACATCCCATGCCATTATGAATACATATACCAGTAAACACAAACACTTTGGCCATTTTCAAGCCTCGGTAAACAATTCTCAAATTAATTCCACGGCTACATAACATCGTTATTGATGCTGTCTTACGTTGAATTAAAGTAATTTTGGAATAAATATGTATAGTCTGCAGTCTGGCATCTGAACGTGAATAATGAAAGAGTGATACCCCACACGTCATACATAACACAGCTTTTGCAATGCATATTTTGTTTACTACAAAACTCCTCGGGTGTTTTTTCGGTGGTGAAAACAAGAAACCCATCTGAACTATAAGCCAAGATTTCGGAGGAACCATTTTCTTTGGCTAATCGAAGATTCACTCTTACATGACCCCAAATAGGATGTTGTTAGATGTTTTTTGCATCCATCTGTGACATCAGTTTGGAATGTTATTGGTTTTACTATTAAGTAAAGTATTACAAAAACAGAGTGTCTGTTTTTTTTTTTTTTTTTTTCTCTGATGACATTGGACAAAGATATGCATACTTAAATATCATCATTTCATACACTTTTTTCGGTACATATTAGATGAAAGCATGCTAACCGCTTTTCAGTACTTTCAGTACTTTGATTGAAAAAGCAGTTGTCAATGAAATTAAAAAGCCTGGACTTTAATTTATCGTGAGAAGTTGAAAAGTCGTAAGTTTTTAAGCTGTTGATGATGGTTAAATCTTGTGATTTCAAATTGTCCAAAAGTTCATTGGAATTTTCGAGTATCCACATCTGATTCACATCACTTCTTGAATATATTGTTGCAAAACACTCTTGCAGTTTTTCCTTCAGTACTGTCAATATCGTAGTGAGGAGTAAAGAAAGAGGCTTGGTTGAACATTTACTGGAATTTACTTATTAACTTGTTTGTAAGGATTCTTATGAAGTTTCGGAATACAATATATACATGGTAGTTAAACTTGATTTTGGTTCAAAACATATGATTTTGAAGAATTTCTTTGCTAGAAAGGGACTATGAGTGTAGCTTGGATTACCACTTGTAGAATTGAAGATCTTCTAAAATACATTTTATATACCGAGTAATTAGCCGTACAAACGAAGTCAACATTGTTACCTGCTTTGTCAGCAGGGACCAGTACGTACTGATGGTGTAATATATTTTTTCACTTTTGGATTATTGAATACAGAAGGATAGATGGTTTTCATCTTGCCTCTCACTCCTTTTATACGCGATTTTAACATGGAACTGATACATTTATTCCATTCTTCTAAAGTGTCAACGTCTTCTTTTTCAAATCTGACCCATCTTCTGGTGTTATCTTCAACAGAATCCATAATATTTATAAAACTAAGACGCCAGTTGAAGGTTGAAGGATCGGGGTTCTCTATATTTAGGACCTTTAAAAATAAGTGAGCTAGGTCCTCATTTTTAACTATATTTATGTCACCTGTAGTAACGTGTCCAGCAGGACTATAGTTAACAAACGTTAAAGAAGAGATTGTTTTCCTCTTATTAACTTGATGTGTTTCATGCCAATTGTAAGGTATTTGCTTTTTAACGAAATTAAACTATGGAATGTCCCGTCTACTTAGTCAATATATAGGGCTCACAGTGGGTGTGGGAGATCAACAGGGGATGCTTCCACCTTTTAGGTGGCATCTATTCTCACTTTTAGAATGTACAGATATTCATATTTTATTTCCTTTTCACAGATTTGTATTGTTTGTAGTTTTTGTGAGATCGATTATTGTTTACAATTACTTCCTTTTCCATGAAACTCTCTAATTTTGATGTACAGGTGACTCTTGATGGCTCGACCTCCGATCTCTCGAAGTTCTCGATCTCTCGAAGTAAACCTACGGTCACGTTTTTTCCTCTATATAACTAAGCAAATTTACTCCTGATCTCTCGAACTTCTATCGCTCGAAGCTCTCTATCTCTCGAACCAAAACCTGGGTCCCGTTACACATATTTCGTTGAATTTTACTCTCTATCTCTCGAAGTTTTGATTGCGCGTGTATACACGCCGATCAAGCGTGAAATTGAGCCTGGACTTAAAACAGTGAACGCTTGGGGCTGGCAAGGAGGTGCATAATTGGGTGTTTACATAGATGACACTACACCCATGGGTCGTCCGTGTGTTGATATAATTAATTGATTATAATTGGTAAATTATAAACGAATTCACAACTCATTTTGACTTGAAACATAGACGATAATTTTTAGAGAATAAATTCACAGACATTCGTTTCAATAAGTTCCCATAGACTATGAACTTTTATTAGAGTCTACATAATCCCAGTATGTCAAATATAACACAAGAAATGGAAGAAATTCCTTTCTCAAGGACTGAATACCAAGTAAGAAAAATCTGGTGGACACTGGTGAAAAACCCGATCAAGCCGCGAAGTAGCCAAACCGACAATTGCTATTCAGGATGTTTTCATGAAATAAGAATAAATAAATATTGAAACATTAGGAATTCGTTTTATTTATTCGAAATACGATCATTGCTGTCGATAGCAAGTATATTACCTGTAAAATACGATTGAAAACGTGCAATAACTTTATTTACATATACTTATATTTACATATAAAAGAATTACCTTAATGGGTCCGAATTGTCCATCATTCAATACTTGAGTTGACATATTTTTCAACAATTCTGTCACGTGACTGCTTAATCCTAAAACGTGAAATCAATGAATATTTTATTAAGGGACTAGAAAGGAATTACATTTTGTAAGAAATAATAACTTATTGAAAACCTCTAATTAATTTAAATTAATTTTGAATTACTACACTATACAGTGATCTATTGGCATAATATACAGATATGGCAAAAAGGGGGTTTACAAGCAAGACTATGGGTTTTATGCTTTTATTTGTCAATCAAAACTGAATATTTATATTTCCAATACATCCCCCAATAATTCAGGAAATGAATTTAATTCTGGAAGATTCCTGAGGACATGAACTACGCCGGCATAGTCACGTTTAAATTATATGCCGCTGTGAATGAGGACACATGTATATTTATGCTCATCAAATCAAAGGGGACATCTATTGATAATATAAATATTCAGTTCTTATTGACAAATAAAGGCATTAAACTCAAACTTGCTTTAAAAACCCCTTCGATTGCCATATCTGTATGTTCCAATAAAGTACATGCTGATCTGTTTGATCAAACACACATATACCAGTCTCTATATCAAACGTGAATCAGTCTGGAAAGCCTCAGTGATTTGACCGTACACTGTGTATGATCAAAAAGTCACTCTTTCTTTCCTAAATACCGCATCTGTGACTACGAGGGTTGTTCGAAAAGACAGATGCAATAAAATTAATACTATGAAATTTATGCTTACCAATTTTTCAAGGAACATAAAATAACAAAAGTTAGAAAAATGTTGAAAAATTTAGCTTGATACCTTAAATATTTTCCAAATTATTAATATATAAAATATATTAAAATTATTAAAATTATATAAAATATAAAATATAAAAATATTTAGACTCAAACTCGTCTTGTTTATATAACTTTAAATGTCATGAATAACTGATTTCAATGCATATGATATTGTAAATAAATCTATACATTGTGAAAGATTCTAAATTATAACAGCATATTTGCTTGTCGGCGTTCCACATCTATCACACATGATCAACGTCACTTTTCTACGTGACAAACTTTGAACACCCTTACAACAAATCGACATTAACTTTTACATTTCTCGTCTCTCTAATTTTTTTCGGTATTTAAAAACAAGTAATTTGAATGCATGTTATTTTTCAATGGTCCATTTAAATATTTCCTAGGTCTATGCCAGTTTTTCCAGGGGTGAAACTTATAATAGCATTTTAGAAAAAGATCCACCCACCCCTTTAATATTGACTTCATTACAACTCATAAATTGTTTGGACATTTCAAATAAAATTTACTATGAAATTTCATAGAACCTACAGAATGGGACTAAAATTGCAAACTTCACGGTATAATATTGAATTACCGCATGAGTGAATTAACGGCATTTTTGGATGACAAATATTCATATAAAAAAGTTTTTTCTCAGTTGCCCTTAGGTAGAAAAAAAAACGTTGTTTTCGAGGTTGCGCCGCATGGACATACCATTGCTTTAATAAAACATCAATAATTTAAAAAAAGAGAGAGAGAATTAATGATGTATAGTTTATTATATAAATAAAAAAGATGATGCTAATTAAACGTTGAAAAATTCATTAATATATCTTAAGCGGTTTTAATTTTATGGCGCTAGTCCACTAACTTTTCATACAACCCTCGTATTTTGTATGGACAAGTTTAGATAGCCATATGAACAGGCCTTTTGTGTGGATACCATTAGATTCACATTTTTAATATGTCCTTATATCCTACAAATTGATAACCATTTGTAAGAGTCCTAAACAGCATACATAACTTTGTTTACTTGGTCCTATATTGAATATTTACCTGTTCCAATACCATATGTATGGATGGCCACTCGATTTTGAAGTTGATGGTTTTTCTCCCTGATGACTTTTAGCGGGTTGTCCTCCCCTGTGTTTTCTCCGTCAGTAACAAATAAAATCACCTGGTCTACAAAATAAATCTTTCAAATTCTTCCCGCTTAAATTATTTTCAAATAAAAACATTTTTGTAAAAAAAAATGGTCATGTACCTCTTTCTTTAATATCTTCAATTGAATTGTTTGTGAAGTACTCAAAGGCTCTACGCAGTCCTGCTGAATAATTTGATCCTTCACCGGTGACAACTGCGCTAATGAATTTTTCAAGTTCTTGTTTAGTTGTTCTAGTAGCTGGTACCAGCATTTCGCCGTAGCATGATTTTGGTGTGTAAACATCTTTGTTAAATACCACAATGCCAATCTATAAAAACAAAGAATCAAATGAATATAAAACAAATTATTATTATTGTAAAGGTAGATACCAGCAAATTCATTTTGTACTAATTACTCTCCTTTAAAATGATAAGTACATGTATGCCTTTCGTTAAGGTAGGATTCTTCTCATATTTCTTGTATTTAAAATTAATGAAATTTTCACAGAATCAAGAAGACAATATCACAAAGTGATGGTATCGGTGAAATTAAATTTGACCGTTTTATATTAGAGACAAGGTCAGGTCAAGGTCATTACCTTTTTCCTGGACATTGACATTGATAATAAAAAGTTACTGTTGTCAATTCCTACTTGTATTTCTTAAGATTGAATATTTTTCTTTTTGCGTAAAAAGATACTACCATAAAGGGCCTCTAAAATGATATTGCCAAATACACATAAATAATTTAACTGAAATGGATGTTGGCTAATCCGAATTCTCTACTTTTCTTAAATTTTTAGAATATATTAGTTATTTTTATATGCTTCCTATATTTCAATTTTCATTCCGCCAAAAATACAGTCACTGCTAGTTTTCATACGCAGTTTACCATTTCTATTTAAAGCTGTATAATTGTGATGAGGAAAGATAAATTGGATCTTTTAAATCTCTCACACCTAAATATGTAAGATATATTAAGCAAATGTACTTTGTATTTATATCCAACCTTAAGAGTCTTGTAATCTTTAAAATTAACAATCATTTTATATGAATTTAAATAAATACGTATCTTTCTCTGGAAAAAAGCTCAATTTCTGATTATCTCAAGAGCTTATATTGGAAGCATTATTGATAGATTCTTATACATAGTTGTTGAATTTGTGAATTCATAAACAGAAAGGTCGAAGCAATGGCTTAAGGATCTTTCAGAAATGGCAATCAATAAAAGACGCCATCTAGCCATTTCCAAGTGATAAAATCAAAATACGTAAAATAAATATGAGATCAACATTACGTAGATCTAGTTAGTAACCATTTTTGTCGGAAAATAATGCAGACTTTACCCGCCAATGCATTCCTTCAATTTTCCAACAAGGTTATTGATGCTGCAAACATTATTAACATTCTGTATTATAAGCGCGTCTCCATATGAGTGAAAAATCTCAGATATGATAAGGAAGGTCAGAGTTCACATTCCTGGTACACCGTATTGGAAGTTTAATTTTGACGTCATGAAAATTTAACAATCCACAAAATTTAATTAACGACGTGATGATGCGTAAATAACAACTTGAATTTAATTATTTTATCAATTCTTTATAAAATCTTGTAAAGTTGCAATACTTGATAGCAATACAATCGAGTAATAGAAGAAAGTCTTTCGTCAAATATGACGTCATCAACCTTGACATGACACAGCACAGGTGATCCAGAGGATTAGATTCACTGGATTAATAATTACAAGAATGCTTAAATAAACATGATATCATTGCTAATTTTTAAATCTAATCATTAAAACTAAAAGAAGATAATTATTTATTAAATTCATCTATCTAGTAGCATTGGAGCTGCTCATGGACAAGGAATGTAGAGAATATCGCTAATAAAACGATAAGCGTAATCGTGGTTTACATCAAAAGTGCAAGGGCATAGACTATTTTATTTCAGCTGAAATATGGAATATTTATTGCTTATATAGTGTATATTTTGAAAAGTGCTGGTAGCTGATCCTGGTCTGCATAATATCATTTTTTAAATATTTACATTCAGTGTGATTTTCCTTATGAAATTCATTAGAAATCCACGACGTTCAAATTACTATAACACGTGAAACCTTGTCAAGGTAGGAACTATATGCAATTTCAATACTCTAGGAACACCAAAATGTAAAATATTTTACTTCAATTTAATGAAAAACTATAACCCTGAAAAATTAACGTAAAAATTAACGTAACGTGCGTTAAGAATTAAGAAGAAGGTATGGTTTTAGCTTTATTGCGCCCTAAAATGTAATGACATCAAAAAGTTTTGAAACTGGCTTAAATATTTTAAATAAATGAGAGACATGAAGGTTTACCATTCTGCAAATATGACGTAATTAATGTGAATATTTCAACAGAAAAAACAAAATGGCACATTTCAAGGGTAATTTACCAAAACTTATCGTTAATTTTTTGTTTTGCAAAATTCAATAACAAATCACAATCTCAAAATCTTTGTGGGCGATGCCTGTGGACAATGTTATCCAAAAGAAAATTTCATGTCTTCTGCAACTTTTTAAGAAAATACGGGAAAATGCACATGTTTATGACGTCATAATTGGCTTTAAGAACTCATGTGAGAAAAATGACTTTTATGATTTTTCGGCATTGAATTTCAATTATTTAAAAAGCATGAGTTTTCCGCTTTTACACCAGTTTCATTTTTTAGAAAATCACAGGGCAAACTTTGTATGGAAACCATACTTTCTTCTTTGTCACTTTTTTCCTCGCAATGTTTGTTTGCGTAAGTTAACTTTGCAACGTCATTTAACGTCATTTGAAGTCACAAACGGCTCTTACATCTATTAATCACGGCAGTTTTGAAAGGCGCTAAATTCACATTAAAGATTAACGAAATAAGCAATTATGAAGAACAAAAATTAGAGAATTATAAAAAATAAATTTCTGTTACCGCGCTAACGCGCGGTATTCAATTTGTCGGCAAGGTGTGTTATAATCCAAAAATACAGTGCAAATGTTTAAGCGAAGTGGAAATCTTTAGCTATTATATTACAATTAATCATTTTCGGCAAAATTTTCAGTACTTCGCAAAACACAGACTAACTCCCAGCACTAATACATCTTTTAATGTGTATCAATTTTTTTCTTGAAAAACAAGCGTATGCCCTTGCAATATCCTCATTTCCAACATTCAGCCTAACAATTCTGTTTTTATACAAGTCACGTGACAAACAGCCGATACATGCGACATAACTGGTAATAACTACGGCCCAGTCCTATCCATAATAGATAGATATATTTCATTTTCTACAGGTATTCAGTTGCTTTGTTAATTTTTTTAACAGAGGTAATACATAAAACGATGCTAAGGTCACATTTTCCATACCGTTCCTTAACATAGCCGAGATTTTCGAGAGGGACGTTAAACAATATAAAATCTATCATTCAATCTTTATTATAAGCAGATTCACTCTTGTATTCCACCTTGCTTAAAGGTGAATTCTGCATCTTTTATTTCCAACAGATATTACAAAACTGTTGCTTCCAAACTTTTTATGAGAGACAAACATTTCCGTGGATAGTTATTTAACATCTAAAACAAAACTTATCATTTGTTTTATTATTCTTCTTTCAACTCTAATCCCGCCAGTCATCACTGATAATGTCAATATCGTTGAAAATAATATAAAGATCTTGAATTGATCATCTTCGAAGGTCCTAAATAAAAGGATCCTCGATCTTTTATTGGTGACAAAAATAAATTTTTGCTTTACATTCTGTAGAAGATATACCAGATGTTGGGATTTTAAAAAAGGAAGATCGGAACACGTTGTCAGAATGTGTTATATGTTTAATAATTTTCTAAAAACGTGTTAGTTATTTAAAAGGCAATTTTCGAATAATCCATCCTTTCGTTTTCTTTGAAACGGAGTTGGTCAAAGAATTAGACAGGCTACACAGAGTATCTATCGATGGTTTCAGCCGAAAGACATGTTACAATATCGTCCTTGTTTGCAAGGCTCCTTATTATGCTTGTACCTGTATTTCAGAAGAAATATTAATCTAAAGGATGGTCATCAACAGAGTTACTTTGTTGTTAAATATCACTCCAATTAAGAACAAGAGTACGCTGAAGTTGAAATTACAGTTGTGTATTTAAAAACATTTACATGTAAGTACATTTTTAGTTTAGTTTTGGGTGACCTGTCTAGGCTGTTTTATATTCCTATGAAGCAATTTAAAAAAAAAAATAAAATTCTACTTGAGATTCGATATTTCCCAGTGAACTTCTACTTTAAGCTGTGATAGAGTCTGCAACATTTGTTCCATATTTGTATGTTTTGCTAACAATAGACTGTAAGCGCACACTTAACCACGTACAGTATGACGATAGAGGTGAATGTAATATATGGAGATAACAAACTGCATACAAGCTCAAATTTCAACAAAGAATAAAAATTGGAGCTGAGCAAACTTGAAACTTTGAAACATGTGGGATCAGGTGCCATGGAGGAATGAAATTTTCCATTGTCAACCTTCCTTATTTAATATCCTGCTCTCACTTGCTTATAGTATGTACATCTCCCATCTTCTTTGATAACCGAGGGCATGCTCCCATCACGATAAGTTTTTTGTAAAACAGACAGGCGTATAACAGATAAATTGATTTTACAGTGTGTTCTGTAAAAGTGACATTGCGAAAAGCATATGATTTGAGAGAACTCTTAATCATATAGCTTCACTTACCTTTAGGATCCTATAACGCAAGTATCTTCTTTAATTAAATGTATAATTATTTCAGATATTGTGCACAGATTGATATAAAGAAAACGTGTCTCTTGTTCAAACTAGAGATTATATACCCTGTCCTCGTGCCCCAGTGTTTCCATGACGGTGATTACGGCTTGTCTGGCCTCATACAGTTTTTCTCCCATCATAGAGGTGGATATATCCAGCACAATCACCACATCCCTCGGCTTGTAAGAGGTGCTCGATACATAATACGGTCTTCAAAATAATAGAAAAATAATAATAAAAGACAGCAAAACAAACTTGAGGGAAAGTGGTTTATATAATAATGTTTGGTGTTATTATACATTTGTACGAGGGTTGATACAAAAGTAATGTCACAGTGTCCATATCTTTTAGATTTGGCGTCAAATACAATATACCAAAAGATGCGCAAATATAAATCTAATTAACATTGAAATTTTAATTTTATAATGTTTATTTGAATTTATTTTATAGATGTTTAAAACATAGAGTATAGGGGGTGTCGCCGCGTCACAACGGAACGTCATGTTTTAAAGTGTTTTTTTTTCTTAGAATGAAAAAGACAAAAACATTAAAAAGATTCTAAAAAAGCACCTAATCTCCCAATTTTTTAAAAGACACAATTCTCGTAACTTTCAGGTCATTAATTGAAAATTAAATGACGGCATTGGTATTTGTGATCATAAACATTGTTGTTTTACTCTGTTGAATAGAACAAAGGGATTGTCGAAATGGGGAAAAACGGCTCGACGAGATCTAAATGCTTTTTGCTTCAAAATATTGGAATCATCACAAGCGACAGTTACGTTTATTTATCAGACTTACAGAATAAAGAATGTAAATAAGAGACATCTGAATAGATAGTTTCAGCAATTTTGGGCGGGTGATTGGTCACTGAATGATCAGCAGAGGACAGGAGGACCGAAAGATAGGAGATCGGACGGAAACGTTCAATGGTGTCTGACGTCAAAATAGACAGACGTATAGAGTGACATGTGAATCTTTAAATTTGTCTTACGCTACTGTTAAAAAAATTTTGACTGAGGGCTTAATTATGAAAAGAGTGAGTGTATAATGTTACCAAGAATTCTTTTAAAAAGTGGAATTTGTGAAAGTGTTTGCGAATCACAAATAATTTTTAATTAAACGAAGGGGAAACGCTTAAAATTATGACGGTGTGTATCCGTCACATGACGTTATATTTAGGTGCGGCGACTACCATAAACGCACATTGTTTAAAATCCGACTTTTTGAAAGTATACATCATATTCTTTTGAATTTTTCAGGTCTGATTTGAATTAAATAAAGCTTCCATCATGTGTAATTTTGTTGCTTTACGTCGATTTGTAGCAATTTTATAAAAGTTGTGACATTACTTTTGGATCAACCCTCGTATGTATTGTCAATAAACAAACCTGAATCTTGGATCATAGCTGTCACAATCTACAAGCTTGGTCGCTGGATAGAAAAGGATCAATCCAGATTTTAGTCCAAGATACTGGTTTTTTATTATTCTGTTAGATTTATGATTATTAATCATTGTTTCCAACACTTCCTTATTGGGGTATTTTAAATCAATCGGGTTCACATAGCTCGGGTGGCTTGCGCATGCTTCATTCTTTGACACCTATTAAAATCATACCTGGAGTATTATTTATGACGAATTGCATATCTTCATTATTTAATCATCTCTTTCATTGGATGAAGAATCTAGAGTCCCCCTTAAATAGGACTTGCAAACTCTTTACTTTTTTCAAAAGAGATCGACTGACATACTGGTTTTCAAAAGATGAACCTCCAGAAAATTACTTGAGATCTGCACTTGTCTTTTAAATATCTTAATCCAATTTTTTTTTTTTAAATGGCCTCTTTTGCTAAAGAAAATGAAAAAGGTTTCTTGTAACTAACCTTTGCTCTGAAAAGTGGGTCGAATGTATATGTCCTGTCAGTTGTACAGCATTGCACGTAAGGGTTTGATGACGTCATTTTGGAGAAGTTCTCATCAACACTTTGTTTTAAGTCCCGGAGAGCACTGTTCATTTCTTCCATGCGGTTGCCAATTAATTTTGCTATCTGTTTTTAAAAAGCAAAATGAATAAAATACACTGTACGTAATGCAAAGATTCATATAGAACACTTTTTTAACAATTTATTTCCGTACACATACATTGTATACATGTACCTTCAAACAATGTACTTCGTTCTTACGACTGGACAATAGCCAGATAAACTGTCTTGTTTGCAAGATATTTTAGGATTCGAGTATAAAATATTTTGGAAAGTGATTGGCACTTCCACATGCATGTATCCATGGCATTAGCGATACTAAAGTTCAAATGTTAACACTATTACTATAGACATGTTCCTATATAGGAGGTTGTACACCAAATTATGTAAGGAATAAATCTAAATAAAATGTTTTCTCTGAAAATACGAAGATGACGGTTGAACAATATCAAAAATATCTCTTTACAAAGGGAGCGTAATCTGATGATATGCTCTATGATAATTCAAACCAATTCATTGATAGGATTTACATCTGTACATGTATTTATAAATAATTCGTATAAAATGGGTGAAAGGGGGTTCAATATTGTATTATTAATCTGTACGTAAATTAAGTAGATTTATAAAAGATTCCATTTTTAAGAATATTATTGGCGATTAAAACTGGTTCCATTTATTTCATTGTTAAGATAACATGAATCGCTTTTCACTAAAAACAAAAGGAGAAAATTAAATAATGAAGTTGTTGTAAATATTGTATATTTTTCATTTTTCAGTTACTTCCTTACTTTTTTTTTACTGAAACAGAAAGCAAAATACTTTTGGATTTTTCAAAATAAATTTCCAGGATATCTTTTGTTCATGCTTCCTTACCCTATTAGTCAGTGCCTGGCCGTCCGCATTAGCCTCCACGTAACTCAGCTCATTATATTTCTCCTAAACATGATTTAAAATACATATATGTACATTCTTTCATATTCTTATTTTCAATTTCCTTCTATGTATTACAGGGGGTTTTTTTTAAAGGAAAGAATAAAACAGCAAACCGTAAATCACATGTTTGAGCAAAATTCTTCAACAATTTTCCCATACATATTCACACTTCATTTAAGTAACAACACTAGATTTGCGGTCATAATTCCATTTGTTTAAGCAAAAAAAAAAAAAAAAAAAGAAAAAAAAATTTGATCGTTTAATAAAATACAAATATTCATATTAATTAAAACACATATAAGTAAAAAGCTGAATATCAAATGATTAAATCAGTGAAAGATGTCTTTTTAAAGCAACATTTAAATTTATTCATTATGAAAAAAAAGAAGTTTCTATGAATTGAAATATTACATAAAATACGTCAAGTATTAGGGGATTCGACATTTAATTAGACTATAAAAAAACAAAACCTAAATTCAATTCCATATTTACCTGTAAAAATTTCCAACCCGCGGTCTCCACAAGTCTCTGTAGTTCCTCTGCCAGTAAGGTTGCGTTGATCTGTTGGATCTTATTAGATGTAACCCGCTGCAAGCTTGTATCCATTATAACAAGGTAGGAGAAAATCGAAAAAAGAATCATGACCGGTTTTAAATGTAACAATATTTCAATTAATTTTACATTTAAATTTTCTGTGGTTTTTTTTTTTTCAAAAATAATTTTTATCTATCAAGGGACAAAGTAACCAATATTTATCACACTTTTCCTCCTTTCTTTAGAATTTAATTTGACTCTCTGAAGTAGGAAGTCAGAGAGAATAGAAGACCCCTATAATGTCCTAAAAAAAGGACGCTACAGCCAGGAATTTACACTATATATATATAGGTATCTGCAGCATTTCCTTGTTATTAAAGTCAGGATATCTATATGTATAATTCCCTGTCTCCACCATTGTAAGATGATGTGTGTCTTGCTTGCAATTTCCTGTCGGAGCTTTTCCGCATTTCATGAGGGCTACTGTTTTATGGAAATAAACTCAAAATTTCTCTCTCTCTTTCTCTCTCTCAATACAATATACATTTCTGTGTTTATCTATATTATAACTTTTCTCTATCTCTTTTCAATTATATACGACATATGAAACGGAAAAAATGGCTATTGTAAAAAAAAACTTAATATATTTTGAAACCCTCGTCGCTTACTTTGTTTGACTCGCACCTTTTTTTCTCTCTTCTGCATTATTTGAATACAGTATAAAATATTGAGGGGCAATATGAAAACAATCTATCACATGTACATACAATTTTCTGTATTCATTAATCCAGAAGTAAAGAAAAAGGAATTAGATTACGTAATCAGTACATACTGGTCCCTGTTGAAAACTTGAATTTAATTCTACAAGTGGAAAACCAACTTAAACTCATACATGTAGTTCCCTTTTTAAGGAAGAAATTCTTCAAAATCATAGGTAAGATTTAAATATTTTTAATATTCCAAACAACCAAAATTTTTGTATTATTTTATCTGTATTGGACTCCAAAAACTTTATAAAAACCTTAATAAGCAAAGATACAAAGCAGTTTCCAGTAAATGTTTGACCAAACCTCTTTCTTTACACCTTTCATTAAGAGTAGTGAAGGAGAATCTCCAAGAGTACTGTGCAACAGTATATTCGAGAAGTGGTTTAAATCAGATGTTGATACTTAAAAATCCAAGGATCCTTTTGAAAATTTGAAATCACAAGATTTTTCTAAAATCAACAACTTAAAATCTTGACTTTTCTACCTTATACACAATCATTCACCACGATATATTAAAGTATAGGCTTTTTGATATCATTGACAATTGCTTTTCCAATAAATGGAACTGGTAAATTACTGTAGATTTCTTATTTTTCGCTAGTACTTATTATCGCGAATGGTCTCTTCAACGTCAAATTGCGAGAATAATATTTCGCGAATGGACGGTTGATCGTGAGAATTTAGCACTAAAAAATAAAGGCGAGTAATTTTTTTCCCCTGTGGTGCTTCTCGCGAAATTGCGCGATAATTAATTCCACGCGTAAATTTAGGAATCTTCAGTAATTTACCTCGTCATTTGTCATTTGCAAAATTGTTTTGTTAAACATTTTAATTGTACACACAAATACCCTGAATTTGAAAATTAAAAGATGCGTTAGTTTCTGATTGACAATATCTACATGTATGTGGTTTTTGGAAACCAAATCTTCCAACAATATATTGGAATTCCTATATATTAATTGCACCCCGTTATTAGCAGACTTATTTTTGTATTCACATGAAGCAGAATTTGTCAAAAATCTTATACGTGAAAGGAAGAAAACACTTGTTGTGGCTTTCAACTCAACATTAAGATATATCGACGACGTATTGTCAATTAACAATGGTTGTTTCCATTCGTATGTCGATACTATATATCCTGCTGAGCTTGAGATAAAAGATGTCACAGAGTCTGACACAACTGTTTCATATTTGAATTTTATATTTGAAAAAGACGTTAACGATAATCTAACAGCCTAGCTCGATGATAAATGATTACTTTTACTTTTTAAGCGTCATTTTCATTTACCTCTGCAGCATTATACGTTCGTCGCCTATGTACAGGTGTATTTCTCAGTTAAATCGATACCCAAGAGGATGCTCTGCGTGAATATACAATTTTTCAAACGAGTTAAATAGTTGACAAACAAGTTAATGAAACAGGAATATGAACAGTCTCGTTCAAAGTCATCATATCATAAGTTCTATGGTCAAAACAATGACCTTGGCAGCAAATAAAATTGATCATTTCGTCAAATGTTGATCGACGTTTTTCATACTTATCGTCAGGCCATTATTTGTACACTAAATTGTCTACGGATTTTCTGTTATTTCCCGGTCATGAGAAGGAGCACAAGGGCGGTTGTGACCGGTTGGCAGGGGATGTTCATTCCTCCATGGCTCCTGGTCTCGCTTTTGATGTTTTTGGGGGTCAGTGTATGCTCTGCTCCTATTTTGTATTGTTTGAATGCACTTTTGACCTGAAATACTGTTCGTTATCCCATATATATTTTACTTAAGTAAAACAAAAAAACTAAAACAGTTACTTTATTTTCTAAAAAACCTCTGAAAAAAGAACATCTCTGTTAAGGAAAATGAAGGTCAATGTTGTAGCAAGAGAAGGATATGCGGGTTCTTGTTTACTAAAATAATTATAATTCACATTTGTCGTCTGTTTGATTGATTGATTGATTATATATTGTAAGCGTCCGACTCAGGCATTTTTCACTCATAAAGAGATGCCACAACTTGCCAGAAGAGCTGCAAATTTTGTCCTATACTCGGCACTGAGGACCATTCAGCAGCGATGAATCTTTTTCGTGCTAGCACCTATACTGCGACACATGACCTTGGCTTATATGGTCTCATCCGGAGGACAGATCTCCACGTCCCAGGGTAGGATTAGAACCCGTGAGATAAGGATCAACTCCTTACTTCGCAAAGTTAGAGCAGACGCTCTAACAACTGCACCACGCGGGCGACACGGTCTCTTTCATGTTGCATTAAAAAGGAACAATTAAAGTAATGAACATAATGCTCAACATTAAAGATTTAAAATCTACAAACAATTTATACATTCATCTTTGTTTGAATTTTAGCTAATTATATATACAAGACACATTGTAGTTGATAAAGAGACAGCCACAGGAGCTAAAAACAGTCACTCGAAATACCAAGCAAAAAGCATGCTATCAATCTTATCAAAATGAAATGTTTGATCCCCTTTATTTTTATCATGTTCTTAATGAAAAAGGAATATTAGTTGATAGAGTTTAATTTAAAGATATTAGAGACACAGAATTTTATCTTTTGCTAAAGAAATAAAGTTACTGCTGGACTTAATACGAATTTAGAGCTACTTCCTCTTCTTTAGTGTCTCTTACTTCTCTCTTTCTGTATCTCTTGATCTTTATTATTTCTTCTATTGGAGGGACAAATACAGAATAAATAGTTCCAAGCACAAGTATTACGAAGAATACCAGCATGTAATTATAAAGTTGATCAGCATTCAGTTCCTCGTACTGGAGCAATGAAGCGGGCATCACAACCACTAACAAAATCGTTATCAATACTCCAACTATATAGGCTATTTTTCTGGACTTCCGGAATATGAATTCCATGTCAGATATGCAGAGATTCCTATCTTTCTGGATATTTTTCAGTTCATCTTCGTATAGATTTCTCCATGGGTTGAGGGGATTATCTATGTAAAACAGTTTTGCCCATTCTTCATCTACATCAGCACCACATTTAATAGAATGTGTAACCATGGAAACGCCTACAGTTATTAAAGTACTTATCAGAAGTCCAGAAATACAGGAGGCAAAAAGGCTGTAGTCCGCCGATGTATTAGTGAAGAAATCGCTTAGACCCTTGTCGTACGATGTCTCTGCTACCAAGAGTAGCGCCGCTACAGAGGCAAGCGACCCAGATATCACTCCTAGAATAGTAACCAGAAAAGAGTCATATAAATTGCAATTCTTTTTTTGAGATCTTAAAAATAAGCCCAATACTGGACTTTATACTTTTTTCTAAACATATGTTCCAATATCTTCTTTTTAAATTATGCCCACTGCCCTAGGTAAAAGGAATTTAAAATCTGTCGTTTGAGAAACTGTAAAATAAAATTGTAAGTTGAATTCGAGAAAATAAAATATGTATAGTTTGTTGACTTGTCTCTTTCTTTAGGTAAACCCCTGTCTTCAAATTATGTCTTTTGACAAAGAAACATTCGGACAATTTAATTTTAAGTAACAAACGCATTTTTTCCAAAAGCCTACCTGATATTACTCCCTTGGAGGTACATTTACTCCATGTAAACGTCAATATCAGAGGGGATATAAATGGAGTCAGAAGCGTTTCCATTACGAAGGTAACCCAATTCACGTTTAGTTTTAACGACGTCATCAGAATTCCAAAAGGTACAAGACAAAGTGAAATCCAAATAATACACCAGCTCTTGTAGTCTTTCAGCATATCTTCATAATGTCTGTATTCTCCATGGAGGGGGCACTTATATTTAAGCTTATATAGTGGAGCATTTGACCTACTTAGGTTGACATCATCTTGACAACTCGGACACTCAGTAGCAGGTATGCAGCTACAAGTCCCACCCTCTCTGGCATACTTCAGATTTCCACAAAGAGGACAGGAAAATGGGCTATATGTCTCTCTGATAATGAGAAAATATGCATTAAACTTTTCACCGCTATTTAAGCAAACCATGCTACATGTATAATTTATTTTATAAATTAATCGATATATACCTGAATGGGCAAACGTAAACTTTATATAAGTCATACACTAGGATGGATGAAATTGCCATGATTTCACCTGATCCTGTCGCCATTAAAGCCATGAACACAATCATAATCAGTAGATATTCTCCTGGACGTCCCAGAGTATCCTCCATTACAAGTGGTGTCAGAAATCCTGAAACATATTTCTTATCAGTAACCTACCAGACTGTTAATGTTTTTTTTAATTTTCAAAAAGCGCAATATATATTAAAATGTTACATAAATATTTGTTACTGAAATAAATCTCCAAACAAATTTCACTATAATGTATTCTAAAGCATAAAATACACATCCAAGAAAATACCATTGTTCGTATCCAAAGGCGAGAGCAAGTATGATCCATTCTGGTAACTCATTGAAACATACGAAAGAAAAGCTGGAAGCGATAGGGAGATAGGTATCCCTAAATACAGAAAACATGCTATGAAAAATCCAGTCACACCTTGCTGTGGTTTTGTGGCTATTCTACTTTGCCACATGGCTTGATCGCAACAATTTAAAGCCAACACCATGAAAAAAACGACAATACCATACACCACCCCAGAAAACGATCGGAATGTCAAGAAGGACTCTTTTGCATTACTGGAAGGTCCCTTGACACATTTCACAGATTCATACATTACACTAATGTCAGTTGAATTACGATGGTCGGCGTTGCTGTTTGGAAAAATGAACATGGATGTAAATATCACTAGAGCTACAAACATGATGCAAGTGTTAAAATAGGAGATGTAGAATGCAGCTCCCAGTCCACCAATGAAACAGTAGGAACCAAATAGGAAAACCAAAAGAAGTACGGTCAATTCTGATGACATTTCTGGAACTATGCCCTCTAGCGTATAAGTCCCAGTCAAAATCATCGCAGTCAGCGTTACTGCGTTTGTCAAAAGAGCGATGCAGCAGTAGACAATGTGAGCCGATTTACCGAACCGAGCGTACACAATCTGTTGAAAATGACAACTCTTTTTAACTCTTTTTGTACATCATGTTCTGATTTAATCATTAAAGGCATTTTATATCACTGAATTTGAAGATTTGTTGATTGCATACCTGAGGGTAGGTCTTCGCCCCAGGAGCTTTAGTTTTGAAGTGAATTGTTATTATTGGGAATACGACCATCACCAAAGACATGCCAATAACGTAGAACATAATAGATCCGATCCCAGACTGAAAAAAAGTGAGGTCACTACATGAGGATATCCGATATATATACGATAAGCTAAATATGAAATGAAAACGGGTTAAGATAACGAACAGTTATCGATTTGATAAAAAAAAAAAAGACTTTCAACAATACAACTCTGATATATGGCGGGAAAAAGTGATGATAACGAATTGTGTTCAATATCTTAAATCTGTAAGAGATTTAAATCACAAAAAGGCAAATATGTGACCTTTAGATTGATTGATTGTGACTTGCTTAACTTCCCTCTCGAGAATTTTTCACTCATATGGAGACGCCACCTCTTGCCGGTGTAACGACGAAAAGTGACCCCCGTAGAATATTGACCGGGGGTCATTTTTCTACGTAGAAATTTGACCCCCTGGTCAATATTCTACGTAGAAAAATGACCCATAGAAATTATGGCCTTGGGGTCGTTTTTCTCCGTGTGCATTGTGAAAAATGACCCCGTAGAATAATGACCCCTTGTTATTTTTTGATGCAAAAACTTTCGTTTTGGTAGGAATATTCTTGTTAGGCGAATGTATACGGGTAATATCAAGCAGTCTTATGCTTTGAAGTGTTGATTTCATAAAGCTTTTAAGCTTAAATAACGAAATCATAACTATACAATACCTAACATTAATAAAACAAACCGTTTTATCCCCAATGAAGGAAAACAATATCTACATGTATTAAATTGTTCTAAGGCTATTAGGGCAAATATATGCACATTCATAGAACCGTTTATTACATTTAATACAGTAAGTTTCCACAGTTGTCATTTTAATCTTTAAAGGGTCATTTTCTAGCTGGTGTCAGAAAAAAGTTTTAATGGTTTCCATAATTAATTAATTAATCATAAATTTCTTTGATTTTACGCTGAATAAATAATTTGCAAAACTTAAAATAAAGTTGGGGGATATATTATTTTTACCTGTACGTCCGTCTGTCTATTTGTCTATTTGTCCGCAAAAACTTGAACCTTGCCCATAACTTTAGACTGGGTGGGACTATGGCTTTCATACTTGTGTATTTTTGTGAAATACCTTTTTGTGTACAACCGATTTTGACCTTTTGAACTTGGCCTTGGAGTGTGACACACTTTTACTCAAAAATTTCAAACTTTTACTTTGGCATTGCTAGGACTTTAGATATCGAAGTAATGGCATGACAGACAAAGAGTTCAGTTTTATTTGGAAAGTTAGTGTGTATAAAATCTCAGAAGAAAGGGGACGTTACAGAAACCATTTGTCAGGTGTCTGTGGGCTAAAAAGTGTTGAAAAGAAATTTTTTTTTTGAATTTATAGATATCTCTAAAGGTTGAACTATTATTCACTCAGATGTAAATTTTTGCCAGTTTTGGGGGGATTTTTTTTATCATCATTATAAGAACGTTCTCGATGTGTATGGTATTTGCCTGTATATACAGGAAAAAGTATAGTACCTAATATAAGGTAGTTAAAAAGTATGTATTTGAAGGCAGAATGCATACAGATGTGTATGTAAGTTTAAAGGTAAGAGCTAAGGGAATTGAATTATATATTTAAATTACGTTTCTTTTGTTGCTTCTATGCTATGTTTTTGGATTTGTTAAAATTTTCAAAGTTTACGGTTATCAGAAATATGTCATGCCATTTTAGGAACAAAACCTTTGAATGATAAAAAAACACCCAAAAATATAATCATAAATTTATGCTCCTCAATGAAGAGGGATATGGAGATCACGAACAGTATTCAATATCAAAGTCCATAAAACAATACAACATAGGAGCAGAGCAAACACGGACCTCTGAAACATCAGAGGTGGGATCAGGTGCCATGGAGGAGTGAGTATCCCCTGCTGACCGACCCGCCGTGTGCTCCTTGTCATGATCGGGAAATACTAGTAACGGAAAAATCCGTGGTCAATTCAGTGTATAAATAATGGACTAACAATAAGTATGAAAAAAGTCATTCAGCATTTGACTCAATGATAAATTGTATTTGCTGACAAGGTCATTGTATCGACCACAGAACTTACGAAATGATGACTTGAAAAGAGACTGCTGATATTTTTGTTTCATCAACTTGCTTGTCAATAATTTACCTCGTTTTATATATTGTTCATACGTAGAGCATGCTCTTGGGTATCGAATCAACTGATATATATAAACTCCGTATGCTAGTGATGAATGTATATTGATGATTAAGTAAAGGAGGTTGACGATAGAAAAGTTAATTAAAAGTCATCACGTTTATCGTATAGCTTGGATGTTAGGGTCTGGTAAACCTTTTTCAAGTAAAATATCCAAGTATGAAACAGATGTGTCAGACTCTGTGTTATCTTTTATCTCAAGCTCACCAGAATATATCGTATCGACGTCGGAAATTACCATAAAATGTTAATTGACAATACGTCGTCGATATATCTAAATGTCGAGTTGAATTCCACAGCAAGTGTTTTTTTTTTCACGCATAAAATTTTGCACAAATTCTGCTTCATATGAATGCAAAAATAGGTCTGCTAATAACGGAGCGCAATTGGTACCCAAAATTCCAATAGATTTTGGTGGTCTCCAAAAACCACATAGATATTGTCAATCAGAAACTCAAGCATCTTTTTATGTCAACTTAAGAGTACTTGTGTGTGCAATCCGAATGTGTTTTAACAAAATAATTTTGCAAATGATCAATAACCAGGTAAGTATATTGATGAGTTCCATTTTTTTTTTTTTGAAAAAGCACCTGTCAATGATATAAAAAAGCCTGGACTTTAATTTATCGTTGGAAATGGTTGTCTATAAACTTGAAATGTTGTAAGTTTTTAAGCTTTTGATTTTGGAAAAATCTTGTGATTTCAAAATGTCCAAAAATTCTTTGGAAATCACACCACTTCTTGAATATATTGCTGCACAGTGCTCTTGAAGTTTTTCATTGGGATTCTGCAAGCCAAAAATAAATCCATACCAGATACATGGATTGTGATGCTACTATTAAGATATGCAATCAAATATATGTTGGCAAGGATTAAAGTACCTAAAAAATTCCCCCTACTTACATTTGAAGTATGAAAAAATATCAGGAGATACAGATATAAGGTTTTATAGTTTAAAAAAGTAGGGGGTCAATATTCTATGGGGGTCATTTTTCAACGTGTGTGAAGTCGTAGAATAACTGGTCTGGAATGTTTTTCTACAGTCGAAAAATGAATACACGGGGTGTTTAGAAAAATGACCCCCTGAAAGCACGGGGGTATCTTTTCGTCGTTACACCGGCGGAGAACTACAAATTATGTCCTATACTCAGCATTTAGGGCCATTGAGCAGAGAGGAATCTTTTTCGTGCCAGCATCTACTGCGACTCGGTTTTTACGGTTTCATCCGAATGACCGGTCTCCACGTCCCACAGTTGTATTCAAACCTGCAACGTAAGGATCGACTCCTTTCTTCGCGACTCTAGAGCAGACGCTCTAACCACTGCGCCAAGTGGGAAACATATGACCTTAAGAAACACTTAAGTTGGATCAGGTGGCTAGGAGGAGTAAGTATCTCATGCTGACCAGTCACTTAATAAATTTCTTCGATTCGCTCATATAAATTGTATTTGTCGTGTTTAGTGATCATTGTGAACGAATCAATGCCTGAAATTATAGCAAAAATACGGAGTCAATTTCATGACTGAACAACCAAATGTGCCCCCCCCCCCCGACTTTGGTGAGTGAGATGTCATTTATGGAATATTTTTTCCAATATGAACGCCCTATTATATGTCATGCAGACGTTATCACCAAAGTTGACTTCTTAATAATAAAGTCAATCGTGAAGGTCAAGGGTTAGGAATCATAGCATGATCTTGTCACAGGTAATGCACGTGTCAAATATGAAAGCCCAATCTCCTCTCAGTTATAGGTAAAGAAGGAAAAATTTACATTTTTGGAAATGTCATACTTCACGGTCACGAGATAAAAATTTATATGATATTTTAAAAGGTTTTGTCGCAGACAATACACAGGTTTAATATGAAAGCTCTATCTTAAAAGTCATGACCAATGTTAAATTTTTGAAATTGTAGGTCAAACTTCAAGGTCAAAAATCATAATGTACTTGAAAAGGTCTTGTCACAGGTAATACACGTGTTTAATATGAAAGCAGTATCTTTTCAGTCAAAAGTTATGACCAATTTAATGTACTGTTTAATCTATTTAAGTAGGTCAAACTTCAAGGTCAAGGTCACGGGGTAAAAAAATTATAGTATTTTTAGAAAGTTTTTGTCACATGCAATACACATGTACATGTATACATGTAATATGAAATCCATATCTCTTCATTCAAAAGATATGACCAAGTTTAAAGTTTTTTGTGACAGATGGGCAGAACTACAGGGTCTTAAAGATTAGAGAGTGTAAACATGTAAAAAATTGAATTCAAACAAAATGAGGCTGCTGTTGTTCCAGGGTCTTTATTCAAACTACATTTGTTAAGGGGATTACAGCAATAGTCCTGAACCTTTAAAGCTATGACGGACGTTTGGATAAGGTCCACCGGCCACAGAACTTGGGAGGCAACTGTGACCGCGGTCAAACTGGTTGTTACTTTTCCCCCGGCATCAAACACAGTATCCAGGCTGTGTTGGTCCCGGTAGACATAGCGATGAATTGCGTTATGTAGGACAGCCACGACAATAGAAAATCCGCCAAATCCAAGAACAATGAGAAGACTGGCATCTAGAGCTGATACTGTCTCGATGGATGATCTGTAAGAATGCATGTAATTATGTACGGTGTTTCACCCATATCTATTTAAGAAATAAAAAGTGTTTCTCAGTGGATTTGATCGCTTATCAATAAAGTTCATTTCCTAGCGAACGTTTTAATATTGTTGTTCATTACTTATATTTACATTTGAGTCAAATATTCCGAATAGAACCGTATATGTATTACACGAACGACCCGCTGTGTTGCTATGTTGTAACGCGCTATGACCTAGAAGTTGGTTTGTCTTAAGAGTTAGTCTCGCTCCAACATTTGAATATTAAGTAATATATAATTTTTCCCAAGATTTTGTCATTGAAGTATGGCTACTTTTACATGTTTACTCACAAAAAATTGAGGTACCTTACCAGGCATATGTGCAAGATACCAAAGGATGGCATTTCTTACATAACTCTTTTAGAAAAAAATAAATTGCCCAAATTACATTTTTAATGTTTTAAAATTTAAAAAATGCAATTAGAAGCGGGTTTAAATATCAGAAAGTAATTAAAATTTGTATATATTTCAAACATTGTGAAGATATACAAAACAGAAAATTTGGGGAACGTTTCGATTGGCCTTAAATTTCATGTTCAGCAGTCAAGTCTAAGAATACACTGTTTATAATTAAAGAACAATGATAGCTACTGAGAATAGTCTTAATTTTCATGAGTTCTTTGTATGTGTGATGTCAAAGTGGTGGTGTCATCTGTTTCAGCTTAATATATACCTTCAAAAGATTTTCGGGTTAACAAAGGTAAACGCGATTTTAGAGTAATAATATAATTCAAAACATTCTTTATACCAAAAGAAGATTTAATGCACATTTAATTTGTTGATTTTTGATTGAGAAGAATCCATACATTTGCTGCATTATTATATATTTTTCATCGCTACAAATTTAGAAAAACTTTCCTGATAGACAAAATATCGTTTCATCATGTGATTAGGTAGCGTCATGGCTTCTGACCCCCTAATAAATTTTCAAAATACTGTAAATATATATAAATATGCATTCAAATTGAATTTCTGAGGTTCATAAGAACAAAATATGGTTTCAATCAAATCTGGACCTGTATTTTTCTAAAATTTAAGAGTGCAAAAACTTGAAATTCCTCTTTTCTGAATTGTTGAAATTCTATGCAGTAAAAATATACATTTTAACATTTTATTTAACATATATAATACCTCGTATATTTTCTATTTATTAAACATTGTTTTTGTTTATTCTTAAATGTTCACTTCACGTATAAATACAAATACAAGAAATCACCATACACTACTATATTATGTTGTGTATGCCATGGACATCAGTGACAAGTGGAAATGTTGGATGATTTTTTCCATTTGGAGTTTTGCCAGATATGCTAATTATCCCACGTTTCCAACTCTCGATGATGACATTATACTCTACAAACTTGTTAATGATTCTGTTAAAATCCAACAGTGACATAATACTGTTAGCCTAACCGAAAATCCCTAACTAGTGAGCAAAAAACTCGCACTTGTCATTTCTATCCTTTTCATGATCATAGCAATGAGAAGTCTGATATCATTTTTTTTTCCACAAAGGTAAATTTGGAATTAAGGTATCCGATCTATATTAGCCCCAGATTCAATGGATAATAGATATGTATGGGCTGAATACTCAGTGCAGTTAGAACTATTGTTCATCTTTTAGTATCAGAATGTAAGAGTTGGACATGTTCTAATTTATGACCTTTTCCTGCCCTTGACGAGTTATCTCCCTTTGATTTTATTCAATAGAATTATTTTTTTTTTAAATTGTAGAGTAAAAAAATTATTTCTAATTGTTTTTCTATTCCCAGAGATCAAATACATCTTTCCACCACAGCATTTTTTGATATTTGAAGTATTTATTTTTTCATCTTAAAAAAACTTACTTCCTTTCACAGACTTCAATGCAATCTTCAATAATTAATTTCTGCTTAAGCAATAAAATGTTTGAAAATTTCTCTTGGTAAATCCCTTTCTTCTCTAAAATGCTTTAAAATAATATTTGGATATTTTACATACAATTGATATTTAAGGTTAGAAATTTTGGTCCTAATATGGGTCGTATACCTTAAGGTTCAGGTCATGATTAGAAATTTTTTGATTATGAAACAAAAGAAACAACATTCTTATAACTTTTAAATTTAAAAAAAGTGTGCCATTTATCACTGCACATCAAAGGAACTGTAGGGCAAAATAAAACTATTTTTCCTCAGTATTCAATTGATGATTATGATAACTTAAAGGTTAAATACGATGATGATGAAAAAAAAAAAAAAAGAGGACATTCAAGTTAAAATAGTCTTGAATCGGAGTTACCTTAAGCTTTCTTGTCTAGGCGTCTCTGAGAACATCAGATCAACTTTACAAGATGCAGATTCCCCCATCTTTATCGCAGACTAAAAGCCTTTGACGGAGTCCTATTATACATTTTATGTTTTAAGCCAAAAAGTAATCTATTCACTTTAATTCGTCTTCAGAAGTCAGGTGGAATAGGGGATCCCTCTTTATTTCCTGAATAGGACGCTACAGCCAGGGACTTACACCTATATATAGGTATCTAAAGTACTTCCTCGTTATTACTTAAGTGATGGTATTCATGTGATGTGCATGAGTTTCAGTTTCTATTCCATTGTTAAATAGAGGGTGTGTCTGTAGGAGCCTTTTCCGTATTTCATATGTTATTAAATTACACATGTTATTAAATTTGTGAAATCAAAAATGTATTTCCTAAACTATTCAGTTAAAATGTATGTATTTACTGGTTATTTTAGGAAATACATGTAATAACTGAGTAGCTAGGAAATTCGTGTGTTTACTGAAAATTTTGGCTTTTTTTTTTTTGCGTTTTTGCTGAACTCAGCTTGATGGCTTAAATAACAATCATAAGGTATACAAATTCTGTTGATTACTTAATTTTGTGACACCTTATTTTCGCGATAGCAATTTACTCTTGATTAAGTAGACAAAATTTTTACGAATTGTGTTATTGCTCTGTATAATCTTAACGAATACTATTTATACGAGAGAATTAAACTTTTGGCGAGCACACTGTCTCGCGAAATTATGCGAAAATAAAGCTCTCGCGAATAAAAAAAAATGAATTACAGTACAAGTATGTTTTGTTTGTTGATTGTTGTTTTACGTCCCTCGCAAGAATTTTTTCACTCATATGGAGACGCAACCACTTGTCGGTGGAGATGGATTGATTGATTGTATATTGTTTAACGTCCCACTCGAGAATTTTTCACTCATATGGACACGTCACCGTTTGCTGGTGAAGGGCTTCAAATTTAGAACCTATACTCGGCGTTTAGGGCCATTGAGCAGTGAGGGTTTTTATCGTGCCATCGCCTACCGTAACACGGGACCTACGTTTTTAAGGTCATATCCGAAAGATCCGTGACTTTCACTTCTAGTGCCGAGCGCTTGGCGAAGGAACAGTCACTATCTATATTTACGTCTTAGGTTTGACGCGGTGTGCCGCGAACGAGAATCGAACCCGGGCCTCCCGATCACGCGGTGCCGGTGGAGAGCTGCAAATTTTGTCCTATACTCAGCAGTCATGATCAGGGCCATTGAGCAGTGAGAGATCTTTTTCATTCCAGCACCTACTGTAACACGGGTCCTGGTTTATACAGTCTCATCCGAAGGACTGGTCTCCACGTCTGACAGTGGGATTCGAACCCGCGACGTAAGGATCGACTCCTTACTTCACGATTCTAGAGCACACGCTCTACCACTGCGCCACGCGGGCGACGGGATCATATGGAAATCGAAGTACCTTTTTTACAGTAATTTACGGGGACCGACTAGGGTTTCCTTTGCGCAATACTTATCGCTTCATAGTAAAATAAAGCGTTTTTATTCCTTCAAAGCAACTTTTTTCACAAAATTAATCAAATTTTACAAAATTGAGAAATCACAGGTTAAAAAACCATTATTCTTTACAAGGCATATAAAATTAAACAAAAGCAAAAATATGCAGTATAAGCTCTTCGAAATTTAAACATAGAATTGTGAGGATCTTACAATTATACCTTCCGAAATTTTTGCATAAATCCTCTGTATCAGCTTTCGTCGCGGGTTCGAATCATACTGTGGGACGTGGAGACCTATAAATCGAGGTTCAGTGTTGCAGTACGTGTTGGCACGGAAAAGATTCCTCCCAGCCTAATGGCCGTAATAGTGCCGATTATAGGACTAAATTTTCACCGGCAGTGGTGGTGTCTCCATATGAGTGAAAATTCTCAAAAGGACAGTTAAACAACATACATGTCGTACAAACAAATGTAAGCTGGGGAAGATGGAATTCAACATCAGAAAATAATAAAGTGAACGGTTAGAGGAAAAAAACGAAAACCTTATTATTTGAAAACTTTTTTTAATCAGTATTCACTATTTTTTTTTAAAAAAAAGAATTGGCTATTAATTGCATATTTCACTGACGACAAGATTAAAATGGGCAAAATTTACAGGAATTATTGATTTGCGTGCATTTTGAGAAGTTACTAATGGTGTGATAAATGTGAAGATGTTTCCCTGATATCAAATGTTGATTGTGAGAGGGTTAATTAAGATTAAGATAATGAATGAAATTTAAAAAAAAAAAGAGAGAGAGAAAACAAGTTAATAAAAAAAAGTCTTTGATCGGAGTTACCTTTCTTTTCTAGACGTCTCTGAGAACATCAGATCTACTTTACACGATGCAGATTCCCCCATTTTTCTGCAGACTAAAAGCCTTTAACAGAGTTCGGTTCTACAAAACAGTTTACTATAGCTGTATTATACACTACATTTGTTGACCTCTTTTATGTTTATTCATATCTGCGTACACATTTGTGTAATCCCTGTACATAAAATAATTTTAAAGATATTCAAAGTCATGGATTTTTTTCTGTGATAATCCTTTCAAAGTAAGGACAATAATTTGGTGTAAAGAATTTGTAGAAAAAATATTTTGTATAACTTTCTTTAGAAAATATAGAGTTAATCCCTTTTGATTCACGTCGCCTTTTATATGATAGTATAGATTTTTCTACGTTCTATGTCAAAGACATGTCACCTGCCTATAGTGTTTTTTCTCTCCCAAATTGTTCGCTTTGGAAAAACATGCTCTTAGTACGGTCAATTTTAAAAGTAAGGAAGACCACTCACACAAAAGTGACACGAATTTCAACAATTTTCTTCAAAATCAGAATTTCATTATTCTGTCGTTTTTATGATGATTTTGTTAGCAAAGCATTGGATCGTATTTTGAATGAACTGTTTCACACCCATAGTTTGGCTTTTCTTTTTCTTTTACCTTTTCCGTCCACGTGATAAGTACATAACGCTCACAGCGGGTTTGAGCGGTCAACGGGAGACGATTACTTCTCCACGGAACCTAATCCCTCCTTTGGAATTTCCAGCGGTCCATGTTTAAGCCTTGTTCAGATTTATGTATTACTTGTTGATTTTTTTTTTTAGATCAATCGCTAGCGCTGACCTTTTACATCATTATTAATCTGAGACGATGGAGTAGAAACAATAGGAAACGAGAAAATTAAAATCAATTTTTTTGTTAAATTTAAGGCCCTGCGTAAAAAAAGTATGTCATTTCCTTAGTTCATATTCAATTCATCTTATGCAATTATAGTAAGTCGAATTTATAGCAGAGCAGGTGAGTAAAATATAGGTGACACGGGTGCATGAATAACATTACTAGTTTAATGATATTACTTTCGGATCAACCCTCATTCAGTATATTAGCGTTCACCTATAATGATGGTACATTTCCTTCTCTTCTTTGAATGCTTCATCATGCATCTGTCCGATAAAGAAAATGAACAAAGTCTAGGCCAGGATTTACATTATCTAGGTATATAAACCAAACATTTGAAGTCAATTAAATCCGTTTCATCAACAACAGAGGACAGACGTCGGAGAGAGAGAGAGAGAGATATTAAAGAGAATAAAATTAAAGGTTTAATATAAATTGTACCAATTGTATATTTCATTCACAAAATATTATTACCCTTATTTATTATTATGAAACATGAATTTGGTTGACACACATTTATCAATTAAGAACATTTTGTTAGAGCCGACTTATGGCAATTTGTTTAAAAGATTTTTTATATTGATTGCCTGTATGTCTTACGTATCACTGGATAATTTTTCAATCATACAATGAAACATATGGAGATAACGAACAGTATTCCAGATCAAAAGTCCATAAAACAATACAAAATAGGAGCAGAGCAAGCACGGGCCTCCGAAAATATCAGAGATACATTCGTTTACCTGTACAAGTTTGGTATCTGTTTCTGATCTTATAATTTTTGATGACGTTTGTGATTTATTGGAGAAAGATTGTCAGCAACATTTCTTTGATCTCGGCAATAGCTTTAGTAGAATATTGAATATGATATGAATATGTACTGGATACAAGGAAAAGTGAAATTTTTTTTAAAAAAATCGTATTTAAGAAAGCGATATATTTACCTTGCAATTTTATATGAGCAGATATTTTCAATTCTGGTATATTTGTTGAGCAGGTAATTGACTGGGTGGTTATATTTCCTTAAAAAGAGAGCCACATTTAAGATTGACCACAATTACTCTAATTGGGAAACTGATATGTGTCTATGAAATACTTAGTAATTTGAACTAGATAATTGTTGTACATTGACTACATGTAATCAAATTTTCAAGGCTCATTGTTTTGAATCAGAATCAGAATCAGTTTATTCGCTCAAACCATACAGCATGGTACATGAGGAACATAAAGTATATACAATGTCTATAATGTCGTCAGAGGTACATTAGTATAAATATACACACATATAAATAATTAATATAAATATATATACGTAAATAAATATTTTACAACTGCATGTAGAGAGGATGTACATATAGTACATGTAATAATAAAGTATATGCAAAAAGAAAATACCAGGAGGACAGCTAAGAAGGACAGACAGTCTCAAATATTTTTGAAATAAATGTACATAGTTTTTGTAAAAATTGTATATTTGAATTGGCCATGAGTTCATAAAACTTGACAACATTTGGTCTGGTGCAGTAACTTTTGTGTAAAAAAATTTTTCTTATCTCTGAAAAAGCTGTACACTCTAAAATGTAGTGGTATTCATCGCCTATCTTTCCATTGTTACAAACTAAACATACTCTATCATTTAATGGGGTGCCACACCACCTCCCTGTTTCGACAGGTAGATGATGATTTGAGGTACGCATTTTCATCAATAGCTTTCTTTGTTTTGGGCGTAAATTTTTAATGTAGCTTTCAAATCCGAAATTGGTTTTAAAAATTCTGTAAATCTGGCCTTTGGAAGAACTATTTATGTCATTTGACCATTTTTGAATGAACTGGTCTTTTAAATTCTGATTTACAATAGCACTTAGCCATTTAGCATTGACAACACCTTGCTCATTCCATATAAATGAAAGTCCACAATTATTTAGAATTTTTTGAATACATTCAATCCATTGACATTTAATACCATCGTTACTTAATTGGTTATACATATA